CAAAATAACACTCTTGTCTCTGAGCGAAAAGGTTATGGGTTCAAGCTCCATGTATGAGGTGCCATCTTTCAGAGGAGATGTTAAACTGAGGTCTGTCTGCCTGTTCATGAGGATGTTAAAGATCTCACAGATGCTACCCAAAAAGAGAAGGAGTTTCTCCTGGTGTTCTGGCCGACATTCCACTGAATAGAAATTAGTCATGCAATTAATGGATGTTTGTGGGACATGAGGCAACCATAGAATGGATTGTGCCTTTCTCAGGAGAAGCTCAGAGCAGCTTCTGGAATCCATTAGACATTAATGGCTAATAATCCAGTGCCATACTGTATGGGGAGGCACTGCATTGATGGAGATGACAGCTTTAGCTGAGATGTCACACCATAATAATAATTCTTGCATTTGATATAGTGCCTTATTGCATCTCCGAGACAGCTCAAAGCGCTTCACAGAATATACTGTAAAGTGAATTGGCTATATTTTTTGGGTGAATGCCATAGTCCCTACCATAGTCCTAGGCATCCGATCTTTGTGTAGATGTTAAAGATCCCATGCCACTATTGGAAAAGTGAGAGGAGTTTTGAGGGGCTGAATGGCCTCCGCCTGTTCCTATGTGCCTCCAGCTTTTGAAAAATGAGTCATCCACCTACTGGCTGATAACGCAAAATGGTTGTCACATTTACAAACATAAAACAGTCACTACACTTGAGACAGTTATTACTGTGAAGTGTTTTGAACAGTTTTGACGTTAAAATGTACTAGAAAATTGCAAGTTCATCCGGTTCCCAGTCAGACTTTGTGAAGTACTTTTGGTCTTTTTCCCTATCTGAAAAGCGTTCACATTTATTAATGCAAATTGTTGTTGTCGTTGGAGGTGTTGCACTACTTGTGGCAATTCACATTCACACTATGAATAAACAATTATAATAATATTAATCGCAGCGCTTGATGTTACAGCGTCTACAACATTGAACGGTCTCAAAGCAATTTGAAATGCTGTCAAGTAGAATAAGGCAGTAGCCAATTTGCACACAGGAAGATCCCACAAACAGCCATGAAACAAATGATCAACTTAGTCTGGAGGATTACTTAGACACTACACTGTGAGAAGCTCCTCTTTCGTTTCACCTTGTGTCGTGGGATCTTAAAAAGATCCTTTTGGAAAAGAGAACGGCGATTCATCCCTTCAGCTTTTGAAAAATGAGTCATTCAATTCCTGGCTGTTTAATGTGAAATGGTTGTCACATTTACATGCATAAAACACTCACTACTCTTGAGACAGTAATTACTGTAAAGCTGTGCTTCGAACAGCTTTGATGTTAAAATGACTTATTCCTGGACAGGCAGACAGAATCTCAATTTGATGTACATCACCTCCAGTAATGCAATGTTCCCCAATATCCTGTTCTCCTGACGCAAAAGGTGTGATATAAATGCAATTTGTTGTTTGTTGTTTGTTGTTGTTGTTGTTGTATTGCACCAGTGTATCAGCCAACGCTATACTGTGGGAACTCTGGATAAATATTCACACACAATTTACGCTGAATAACAATTACAGATGATGCTAATATTTTTTGACTTAGCAGTCACCAAAACCAAATGGTATTAAATTGAAACACACCCACCTTTTACACATCATTCCCAAACGTGAATTAATAATAATAAAAATAATAATAATCCTTAATATTTTATATAGAGTCTTATCACGTCGTCGAGACGGCTCTAAGCGCGTCACAGGATACACTGTAAAGTGGATTGTGTATTTTGTGGGCGAAACGCAGCAGCCAATTGCAAACAGTTGTGGATTGAAAAACAATTTTTTTTGGAGGGATTATTACACTCGGAAACGATCTGCCAATCGACTAATAATTGGGTCCTACTTACTGCTAGGTAAACAAAGGTGTGGGGAGTAAGGAAATCTGTCTAAAGTTTCAACACGCCCAGAAATCAAACCCTGGTCCTCTGACTGCAGTACTTCACAATCAGATTAAATTGAAACTTTAATTAAATGAGTTTCGCCTCCCATTGCTTCCAGAAAAACAAGTCCCCGTGTAAAAATTTAGCAGAGTCACACACAATGATGTACAGCAAATAAATCAACCGTATAACAGAGATGTTTATAATTCATGTAACCAAGTTACTGCCTTTGACCTTTTAGAATAATCCTATGACGTTTGCTTTCTCTTTCTTTTGGGGAATGTTCAGGTAAGCTCACTTCTTGGAACGCCCCTCAATTGACTGACAGGAAAGCCGACGCGATAACAGTGTGTGTGTGTGTGTGTGTGTGTGTGTGTGTACACGTTTTGCCTTGTGTTTTTATGAGGCTAATATTTTCCAAAAAGGCTTTTAGCTCATTGTGGTTTAATTGTAGTGCACCGTCACACACTGCTGTCACAGTGCTGCTTGTGAACATTTGCAAATGACAGACCAGCCAACGCAGCTCGTCAACAGAGCCAGACTGATCACTATGGCTGGGGATTTTCCCCACTGTTAACCCTGCAAGCCAAACTCTTAGTTGGACAAGCAACGGGAAAACTCCAGCAGTTAGCCCCAGTGCACACTCTAAACCTTGGCTCTTGCCAACTTGTCCCTAATACTCTCTGGAATTAGGTAAACATGGTGCGTCCCTCTGGGGGAGACGGTGTTCATTCCAATTTCAGACACACATGTAGGTGGCAAACGCACATGAAGCTCTCAGTCTGGTTTGGATACTTTCAAGCGTGGCGATTGATTTCCGCTTGTGTTGGCTGACCAAATAAAATCCAGAGATGATGATAATCCTGACAGTTGATGCAGTGCGAGTACATCAAAACATCCCCATATGTTCAAAGCCTTTTGAGAGTGATCGTTATCAAGTGCAGTGACTGCAAGTTGGAACAGACGCTGCTTACCGAATCCGGGAGAGTATTAGCCACAGATTCAGGAAAGGATACATTTAGCTTGAATTACCTTTGGCGGGAAAATCAGGAATATCGATGCAGAAACTTCCCCAAAAGGTAAGAATGGACGGGGAGCAGGCCAGGATAGGACTGGGCTTGTTTGATCTGTGCAAGGAGTGCTCCTGACTGCTTTAATAAATGACCTTTTCTCCTTCCCTGCTTTATACCCTCCTTTTATGCTAATGTATGTACCCATTGGTATGACAGGATGAATGTTCTCATGCTTAAACGTTGCTTACGAATAACCTTGATCCCTGGGGGAAAAAAACATTCCCAGCTAGAGCTTCCCCTCCCCCCATGTCATTGCTCATTGCCCATTTATTAACTCGTCTTCAGTGTCGTGGTTTGACATCAGCCTTTCCAGGATATAGAGATTTTAACAAATTAAAATTATTGGAGTCAGATTAATCTCAGAGACTGCTGTTAAAAATGTCCATCGAGGGAGCTAAGTCCATTCGAAGTATGTAAAAGGGGGGAGTTAACGGTTTTAAGATATAATAATAATAATGATGATAATCCTAATAACAATCCTTTGCATTTGATACAAAGTTTGTGCATTTGTGGAGTCCTGTAGCTCAGTGGTTAGAGCACTCGCTTTGCAAGCGAGAGACCCGAGTTCAATTCCAGGCAGAGGGCGAAACCTTGGGCAAGTTTCCTTACTCCACACAGAGCCTAATAATAATCCCTCCAAAAAACCAAAAACAATAATAAATTGGTCATTTTCAATCTACGACTGTTTGTGGGACATTGCTGTGCGCAATTGGCTGCCGCGTCCGCCCACAAATATACAGTCAGTTCACTTTACAGTGTGTTCTGTGAAGCGCTTTGGGACGTCCTCCCGACGTGAAAAGCGCTACATCAAATGCAAGGGTTATTATTATTATACAGCGCCTTATCACATCGTCCAGATGTCTCGAAGGCCCTTCCCTTCGCAGGAATACACCGCAAAGTGCGTGCGTGCGTGCGGCGGGCGCAGCCGAGGCGCGCGCAGCCCAATGTCTGAGACGCGTACGTCCTTCTCTCTGGGTTTGACTAATTTCTGATGAATAAGTCGACCACTTCCTCCCAGTCAGTCCAGAGAAGCAGCCCTTTGGGGAGTGAGCAAAAGGCTCACTCACTCACTCACTCACTCACTCACTCACTCACTCACTGGTACGACGTGGGTGGACACCCCTCCAGGTCCAAATATGGTGTTGTCGTGACGTAGCATTCCGTGCGCGGTGGGCGGGGCGTGGGGTGGCTTCCCGGCGTCACGCTCCTTATATGGGTATCTACGTCACCCCCGGCGGCTTCCCTGTATAAATGGCAACAGTGTGTGATCACTCACCCAGAGCTGCTGAGCAAATACTCCCCCAGCGACCAGGGGAGTGAGAGACACAGAGAGAGGGAGAGCTGCTGAGCAAATACTCCCCCAGCGACCAGGGGAGTGAGAGACACAGAGAGAGGGAGAGCTGCTGAGCAAATACTCCCCCAGCGACCAGGGGAGTGAGAGACACAGAGAGAGGGAGAGCTGCTGAGCAAATACTCCCCCAGCGACCAGGGGAGTGAGAGACACAGAGAGAGGGAGAGCTGCTGAGCAAATACTCCCCCAGCGACCAGGGGAGTGAGAGACACAGAGAGAGGGAGAGCTGCTGAGCAAATACTCCCCCAGCGACCAGGGGAGTGAGAGACACAGAGAGAGGGAGAGCTGCTGAGCAAATACTCCCCCAGCGACCAGGGGAGTGAGAGACACAGAGAGAGGGAGAGCTGCTGAGCAAATACTCCCCCAGCGACCAGGGGAGTGAGAGACACAGAGAGAGGGAGAGCTGCTGAGCAAATACTCCCCCAGCGACCAGGGGAGTGAGAGACACAGAGAGAGGGAGAGCTGCTGAGCAAATACTCCCCCAGCGACCAGGGGAGTGAGAGACACAGAGAGAGGGAGAGATAGAGAGAGAGACAGAAAGAAAGAAAGATAGATAGACAGAGAGAGACAGAAAGAAAGACAGAGAGACAGAGAGAGACAGAAAGAAAGACAGAGAGACAGAGAGAGACAGAAAGAAAGACAGAGAGAGAAAGAGAGACAGAAAGACAGAGAGAAAGACAGAGAGAGAGAGAAAGAAAGAAAGACAGAGATGGAAATGTTGCCTTAAAACTTTCTGTCCTGGATATCCTTATATTTATCTTTTAATTATTATTCTCTCAAAAAGGGTGTATTTTTTTTGTGGGGGGGAAGGGGGGGGTTGTGTGTTGGGAGTGGAGAGAAAGAAGACGATCGGAATTATATATCATATATATATATATATATATGTGTGTGTGTGTGTGTTACACATAAATATATATTCGATCTTTTTTTTTTGCTAAAATTATTCAAACCAAATGAATACAAAGCCATTCGCCGCGATGACGGTTCCAGGAATCGACAGTCGGCGCTTAAAGAAATTCCTTCGGAAACAGACGGGTCGGAGTCTGGTCGTCGACTGTCGCCCTTTCCTCTCCTTCACCGCTTCCCACGTCCAGGGGTCGTGCAACGCGAACCTCAACTCGGTGGTGGTCCGAAGGTCGAGAGGGGGAGCGGTGCCTCTGCGGTTCGTCGTCCCGGACGAGAGAGCCCGGAGTCGGCTGCGGGACGGGAGGGTGTCCGCTGTGGTGCTGGTGCTGGGAACTCGCCAACAGAGCCATCACACGGCCACCAAGGACCAGGACAGCACCGTCCAGATCGTCATGAACACACTCAGCACCAGCGCGTCTGCGGGGGTCAAGGTCTACCTGCTCAAAGGTGAGAGACACAGAGAGACAGAGAGAGAGACACACACACACAGAGAGACAGAGAGAGAGACACACACACAGAGAGACAGAGAGAGAGACAGTGTTTGAGTTAAAATTCCCAATACAATTCTCACACACACAGACACACACTGAGTTAACATTCCCAATACAGTTCACACACACACACAGAGACACACTGAGTTAACATTCCCAATACAATTCTCACACACACACACACACACACTGAGTTAACATTCCCAATACAATTCACACACACACACAGACACTGAGTTAAAATCCTCAATACAATTCACACACACACACACAGACACTGAGTTAACATTCCCAATACAGTTCACACACACACACACACAGACACTGAGTTAAAATCCCCCAAAAATTCACACACACACACACACACACAGACACTGTTTGAGTTAAAATCCCCCCAAAAATTCACACACACACACAGACACTGTTTGAGTTAAAATCCCCAATAAAATTCACACACACACACACACACACATATACAGACACTGAGTTAAAATCCCCAATACAATTCACACACAGACACGGAGTTAAAATCCCCAATACAATTTTCACACACACACACACACACACACACAGAGACACTGTTTGAGTTAAAAATCCCCAATAAAATTCCCCCTGGTTTTTCTTGATGGTTAGACATTTCTCCTGTATCTCCGCTCTTGGTTTTTTTTGTTGATGATGATTTCCAATTACAAACCAAATGGCCAAGAGTCGTTTTTTTTAAAAAGAAATAACGTGTTCCATTTGCACTGCATTTTTTCAGTTTAAAGTGTAAATATATATATACATAAAGACACTTTAAACTGAGAAAATACAGTGTAAATGGAACACGTTATTTTTTTTAATATATATATTTGTATATATATATATATTTACATATACATATATTTGCCACTGACATTTACAACGTATCGAGATTTATTTCAATTCTAAAACTGATGGTGCAAACTTGAGTGTTTTCTGGCTGTTGATATTTTCTCTGGACTCATTTCCACTTGAGTTTGGTTTGAAAGCACCTGGTTTGGGAAATTCTGGCACTGAGTGAAAGGAATTGCATCGGAATTGAAGGGTGTTCATCAATGAGTAAAAAAAAACAACACCCCAGATATTGATCCGGTTTAACCCAGTTTCCTTTTAAAGCAGGGATTTAAAAACACAGGAGGTTTTGGTTGGGGTTTTCCTTAAGTTTCAAGTGGGAGGGTTTTTTTTTCAGGGAATCTCAGCACCATTGGAAAATAATAATAATCCTTGCGTTTGATATGGCGCTTTTCACGTCTTCTCGACGTCCCAAAGCGCTTCGCAGAACACACTGTAAAGTGAATTGACTGTATATTTGTGGGCGAATGCGGCAGCCAATTGCGCACAGCAGTGTCCCACAAACAGTCGTAGATTGAAAATGACCCAATTTATTATTGTTTTTGGTTTTGGAGGGATTATTATTAGGCTCTGTGTGGAGTAATGCCCAAGGTTTCGCCCTCTGCCTGGAATTGAACTCTGGTTTCTCGCTTGCAAAGTGGAAAAGATAATCCATGATGCATTTTTCCCTGAAATAGTCATGAAAAGGGACCACTGTGTGTTTCTGTCAAGCAGTTAGATGTTGTGAACGATGACAGGGAGGGAGTGGGAGGGAATGCTTGGATTATCTGTTTCTAATGGAATCCCTACAATGTTCAATGAGCATGGTTACTTAGCTCTTTAAAATGGCTCTCAAAATTACAGATAGCCCGAGAGAGAGAGAGCTCTCCTGCAAATACGGTCACTACACCACCTTATAAATAAAAATAATAAATAATCCTTGTGTTTGATATGGCGCCTTTCACGTCTTCCAGACGTCTCAAAGCCCTTCACAGAATAGACGAAACGCGCACAGCAGCGTCCCACAAGCAGTCGTGGATTGAAGTGACCAATTTATTATTGTTTTTTTTGAGGGACTATTATCAGGCTTGTGGAGTAAGGAAACTTGCCCAAGGTTTTGCCCTGCTGGGAATTGAACCCAGGCCTCTTGCTTGTGAGGCGAGTGCTCTAACCACTGAGCTACAGGTCTCCACGAAACACCTTGCATTTATATAACACCCATCATGCAGGGTAGTTTCCCATAGCACTTAATAGTCACTACAGCAACAACTTACATTTATATTTGCACCCTTCACATCGGGAGGTTATCCCAAGGCGCTGGACAATGAGGGGTTTGCATTCAAGTTGGATTAGAGAAGGATGGGGTGAGGGCAAGTGGAGTGGAGTAGGGAAGATGACTGAAGGCACAGTTTAAATGGAAGGTCCTTGAAAACTGCCCCCCCCAGAACTCCATCCTGGGGTCCCTTCGACTCTCCTCTTCCCTCACTTCCTTCAATGTCCACCTCAAGGCCTTCCCCTTTGACTGCACTTTTGGCCATCTTTCTCTCCCACCCCACTCCCCTCAGCCCCCATCCCCAGTTTGGTTGCAAAACTTCAGACTATTCAGTGCCTTGGGATGTCCTCCCAACATGAAAAGGACTACATACAGGGAAATGTAAATTTGCATTGTAAATTCTGTGAGGTGTTTTGAGACATACTCCCAACCTGGAAGGCACTGCATCAGCCGCAAAGTGTTTTTTAAATAAAAGCAAAGTCCACAGATGCTTAAAAACTTGAAATAAAACCTTGTGATGCAGAGCAGGTTGGTCAACCTGCATCTGAACCAGAAAGTCAAATTAACATTTCAGGTGTGTTTCAGATCCAGAATATCCTGTTGCTCTTTTACACTTCACGCACTGAATGCCCTGCGAGGCATTTCCAACCTTGTGCACCTTACATCTGCATAAACCTCTCGTAAAACTTGAAGTAATCCAGGTTTGAGTGGTGTATGGAACCAGATTGAAGAGAAATTGCTTGTTTTTAAACAAGTACACCCATTGGTCTTTTATTGGGAGTGCTAAAGCTTAGTGGTTAGAGCACTTGCCTTGCAAGCGAAAGGACCTGGGCAAGTTTCTTTACTCACGCCTCTGTTTACCCAGCAGTAAGTAGGAACTTGATTATTAGTCGATTGACCGATCGCTTTTCTGGGAGTAATATTTCCTTTAAAAAATAACAATAATAATTTGGTCATTCAATCCACAACTGTTTGTGGGACACTGCTGTGCGTAATTGGCTGTTGCGTTTTGCCCACAAAATACTCAATTCACTTTACAGTATATTCTGTGAAGCGCTTTGAGATGTCTCAAAGATGCGATAAGGTACTGTATCGAATGCAAGGATTATTATTATTCCTTGTTTCAGCTGTCATCCTTCAATCTCTTTAACCATAAGCTTCCCAGGTAGCTTACCCAGGGAATGAAAGCAATACCTCCATAACTAGCTCCCCTTGTTGACTATTGGCATGGCATAGTTTTAAAACCTACAAAGTGCTCTAAGGAGCTATCATATTGCATTTGGCAATGTCTCTGGTACCAGTGAAGAGATGAAAATATAGGTTGCAGGGGAAATTGATAAGTTGGTAGAGTTCCCCAATCCCGCTCCTGGATTCCTTTTATTGAACCAAGATCAAAAATTGCCAGACATGTTTTGATCTTGGTTCAATAAAGGTGGAACTGGAACAAGGGCAACATGGAATGGGTACACTGCATTATGTACACGCCAATAGGAGTGCGTAAAAAAAAAAATTAAGTATTTCTAGTAATAAAACTTGTTATCAAGTAGCCTGGAAAATGCAAAAAGAAATCATTTACCATGATGAAAAACACATAATATTGCCATTAAACATGTGAAGCGCTTTGAGATGTCTCAACAACGTGATAAGATGCTATATCAAATGCAAGGATTACTATTACTATGATTAAAATCAAGCCAGGCTCAATAAATTGTTGATTGCTGCCTTGAACAATTGAATTTCCTGTTCCAAATTTGGTTGCAGTTCTAACCGGTTTACAACCACACAAATCACTGACCCAATGCTGAGATGTGAAGATTGGTGTGGCTATACTGGACTTTGCACAATCTGTTAAACAAGTTATTGGGTGGTGGGGAGTTACCCCATTGAGTGGGAAACTGAAGTATCCCAACCTTTCCAAGTATCTGACGTGTGAATATTATTAAGCCTCCTAAGATGTGACATTTAAGATGGAATGCTTTCCATGTGTCATTTTCTGTGAATCTTTATCCCAAGGAGAGTTAAGATAAACACTGGGGGTGGGTATGAGTAACTATGAGTAGCTGCCGTAGAACATCTTGTTGAAGGCTTGAGTGGAGGAACGCTCTCTAACTGCTTCAACCTACGCTATATTAATAGTCCTTTGTACTTCTGTGCTGAAATTCCCTCTACCATCATTTTAGAAGGGTGTCAGCCTGGCTTAGTGAGTAACACTCTCATCTGAGTCAGAAGGCTGTGGGTTGGAGCTCCACGTTGGGATTTTGAACTCGTACAGTTCAGGCCGACACTCCAATGCAGTGCTGGGGTGGGGTGCGTTGAGTTGTCGGTGGTGGGGGGAGGGTGTGCTATGAGACCAGAAAAATCCACTGACGTCCTCCCGATGTAAAAGCCGCCCTGTCAGATGGAGATTTCTTTTTTTTAAAAAAAGGCATCAAATCTAAATTATTTTTCACACAGCTGATGATTGTCTATTTAAACTTCAATAAGTGTGCCAGTTTTTCCAATGAACATTGGGGTTTTCTGCGGAAGGGGCATTTCTATTAGCACAGCCCCGCTGAAACTACAATACAGCCATAATAACACAGAACCATTGCTGAAATAGCTCTGGTTCCTGCTACACAGGAAACATTTTGTTTCAAATGGCAGATGGTTTTCCCCTTGTAGTGCAGGAAGCTTTGAATAATTTTCTCATGCAAAATACCCTGTGCATTTCCCATGAAGTTGCTAGTTGCTCAGACCTATTTTTTTCTAAAAAAAAGTATTTTAGAATACAATTTACAGTTGTATAGGGTGAAATAACTTCCATTTTTCTTCCCCTCACCCTTATTTGTCGAGGCTGATTTATGAAAATGGTGATGATCTAATTTTTCTAATAATTTGAGGTTCCAGACTTCTTATAGGGTCAAGTAGGGAGTTCATTATTATATGGACCTAATCTCTCGAACTTCCCTTCCTCTACCCCTTGTTTTGAAGTCCAGCTTTGCCACAGTTCAGTGTTTGAGGGTACTATATAAATAATAATACAATAATAATCCTTGTATTTGATATAGCGCCTTGTCACGTCTTTGAGGTGTCTCAAAGTTCTTCACAGAATATATTATAAAGTGAATTGACTGTATTTTGTGGGCAAAACAAGTCCTTGTCTCCCAACATCCCCCCAACCATCTATTAGCCTTTAAATCCCACTTTAAAAGCTACCTCTTTGACCGCACCTATGGGCACCTCCACCTTGCTCTACTCCCGCCCTCTTCACTGTTAACTGCTGAGACGTTCTCCTATGTGAAAACCACTTTACAAATGGAAGTGGTGGTTGTTGAGTAATTCGGAAATAAAGCCCAAATAATCCCTTTTTTATTCATTGTAAGGGTTGGTATTTTAGACACTGATTAAGGTGTGATGAAAATCATAATAATAATAATCCTTGCATTCATCACGTCTTTCAGACGTCTTGGAGCGCTTCACAGAATACACTGTAAACTGAATTGACGGTATATTTTATGGGCGCAACGCGGCAGCCAATTGCGCACAGCAGTGTTCCACAAACAGCCGTGACCAAATTCAATCGTAAGATAAAGGGTGCAAAACTCCCATGTTTGTGTTATGCTATTGTTGTGTTTGTGTTCCAATCCCTTGTGGGTGTTCAGTGGTAGCTAAGCATGTGTCATGTGAGGAATGTGTTACTGAAACTCACGTTAACACGTGACATTGCTCTGATGAGGCACTCTGAGCAATCAGATAGAAATTTGTATGAGGGAGGTGTCATTCTGTTTGGACAGAGAAATTCAGTCAGATTTGCATCCGCTGAATCATACCTGGGCAGAGCATAGAGGCAACTAATTTATCCACAATGATTCGTGTGATATCATCTTCAAAATCGATTTACTGGGGAAAAATATATTTTTTTAAAAAAGGATTTTATTTAGAAATAATTAAGCAATACATATTCAATAGCCTAACGATCAGATAAAATCCGGCACTTGCAGCAAACGTGCAAGGAGGTGTAGGTTAATTAGAGGTGCATATGGTATGAGTCAAGCAAAGCCTGGAGCAAGCTTTGAACTGCCGTTAGTTAAACAATGCTGTCTCTTGTTCTGCTAATTTTGGTATTTTAATTCTAAATTAACCAAAATGCCTACAGTCACCTGGGGCTGGAATCCACACACAGTGTTGACAGCCTTTAGTTGAGAGCTTCGGCTAATTTATGATAATCCTTACATTTGATTAATATCGCCAGACTATGGCACCACCTCACCCCTCACGCTGCTGAAACTCTGGTCCACGCCTTTATCACCTCAAGGCTGGACTATGGGAACTCTCTCCTCGCCGGCCTTCCCTCCACACTGCAGGTCATTCAGAACTCTGCAGCCCGTGTACTGTCCCGCACCAGACACCGCGACCACATCACTCCCACCCTCACCCTCGCTCGCCTCCACTGCTCCCCATCCCCCAGAGGATTAAATTCAAGATCCTCATCCTCACCTACAAGGCCATTCATGGCCTCGCTCCCTCCTACCTCACTGACCTACTATCCCCCTACCTACCTGCCCGTACCCTCCATTCCTCTGGCTCCGGTCTGCTCCACATCCCCCGCCCCAACCGCCCTACCATCGGTGGCCGGGTTCTCAGCCCCGAGGCTCTGGAACTCTATCCCCCAGTGCCTTCGCCGCCTCCTCCCTTTCCTCCTTCAAGGCCGGTCTCAAGACCTTTCTCTTTGACCGTGCCTTCAGCTCCCCTCTCGACTCTCTACCCCCTCCTCGCTCCCTCCCCTTGTGGTTAATCGCTGTCAAGTGCAGTGACTGATTTTGGGACCCAAATATAATAATAATCCTTGCATTTGATAGAGCACTTTATCGCATTGTTGCGATGTCTCAAAGCTCTTCACAGAATATACTGTAAAGTTGAGTAACTGTACTTTGTGGGCGAATGATCCATTAATCTGGGCTCAGGGATTGCTGGACACCGGGAGAAATTCCCTTCTCATTTGGAATAGTGTAGTGGGATCTTTAATGTCCACCTGAACAGGAGGCAGGTAGGAACTTGGGTTCATACCTCATCAGAACGAATGACCCTGTAATGCCCTCCAACACTGGAGGGAGCTAGTTGTTGGCCAGGACACTGGGAGAAACGCCCTTCTCTTTAAGAATAGCGTTGGGATCTTTAACGTCCACCTGAAGAGTCACAGACGACACCTCGGATTAACATTTCATTCAAAGGACGATGTCTCCGACAATGCAGTGCTCCTCCAGCCCTGCATTGGGCTGTCAGCCTTGAATTGTAAAGCTCAAAGTCTCAACATGGGGCTTGAACCCCACGGCCTTCTGAACCCTATTATTAATGCGTCACACATTTTAAAGCAAAAGTAAATTTTATTTTCCTTGCTGAAATGGCATTATGTATTCTGCTCATTTCCACCTTTCGCTCAATTATTTCATTTTGATATTGAGTGCATCCCGCTGTCACCTTAAAAAAAGCTGGAGCTAAAAAGGCTCAGTTTTGGCCTCACTTCAGTGGGTATCCAGAGCTCTCTTATCTTAAAAGGCAGTCACTCCACACTATCAGTAAAATCTCTTTAATCATCCCTAGTCTGTCAACTGTGTATATATGAGTTTGTGTGTGTGCGCGTGTATGTGGGAAGAGAGGGGAGGGGGAAATAATAATCCTTACACTTGATACAACGCCTTTCATCTCGGAAGGATGCCTCAAACTGCTTCACAAGATTTACTGTAAAGTCTAGTGATTGGGTATTTTGTAAGCAAATGCGACAGCGAATTTGCACACAACAATGCTCCACAAACAGCCAACAAGTGAATTTTATGACCAAGTTTATCTGGGGGATTCTTGACTAGGACACCGGGTTGGAGAAATTCTCTTCTCGTTTCGAATGGTGTCACGGGATCTTTAACGTGCACCTGAATACACACAGACAGGACCTCGGTTTAATGTCTAATATGAAGGACGACACTTCAGCCAATGCAGTGCACTGCATTAGACTGTCAGCCTTGAATTATAAATTCTAAATCTTGACATGGGCTTGAACTGAGACACCAAAATAATTAAGAGCAAATGGAACCATATGCCCTTTGCTGGGAACTGCTGAATGCTAATCTCTCACCTTTTGAGATTAGAGTTGGATTTTGTGCTAAAGATTTTGTGCTGAAAGTTTTCTCCTTTGAGGCTGTTGTGTGAAATGCACTTGGTTCAGTTTAACTAATTTCCCAGTTTACATCCTCTTTGTTTTTGACTAGAAGCGAGTGACAAGCCAATGACACTTTCTCCTATTTTTTTTCTCTCTCTCTCCTCATCTTCAGGAGGCTATGAAAACTTTCACTCCCAATATCCTGAGTGTTGCACGGAGCTAAAGCCTGGCCTGAACTACAGCAGTGTGCAAGAGTTGAAGGAACCGGTTTCAAGCCCCATCGACGTGCCTGAAGACACCAAGCGCAGGCCAGCCTATGACCAGGTGCGTGAAGTCAAAGCAAAACCAAAGTTGACTAACTGTAGACAACATTTCTTAATTGAAATACCCTACCGCAAAAGAGGAAATGGCCTGTTATTTGCTTCCTAAAATCTGCTGCTGGTGATTGCCAATGATATATGACACCACATTGGGACATATAAACAATACATTGCAGTTTTGATAATTCCTGTTTTTGAAAGNTTTTTTTAAATGTTATTTTAAAGGTATTTTCTCTTGAATACGTTCCTTTTATTTTGCTTCTACTTTTAGAAAGAGGTGAAATTTGCTGTTTGCCGCATTTTAATATGTTCTGTTTCAATCAGGATGTGAGAGAGATAGAGAACGAAAGGTGTTTCTTATTGTGTCTGTTCACACAAAGTAAACCGAAATCAAGTCTGAAATAACCGTTAGAACAGTTCTTTCCCCTGAACCCCAGAGTTTATTACTAGCACATTCTGACAAGCTTCCTGTTGCTTGACCACCCTACCCGATAGGGGCTTAACTGGGTTAACAGGAGCTGAGTGGGAATAATAATAATTATAATCCTTGCATTTGATATAGCACCTTATCAAGTCGTTGAGACGTCTCAAAGTGCTTCACAGAATATACTGTAAAGTGGGTTGACTATGTACTTTGTAGGCGAAACGAGAATCCCTGCTCCCATTGACATACCCACTTCCCTCTCCCCCCATCCCTCCCCACCCAATTCCTGCAATGAGCCAGACTGGCTGGTCTGTCAGCCAAAACCTGGACTCTGCATCACATCAGCTCTTTGTGCCAGAATTTGGTGCTACGAGAAAAGCCGGCGTTATGGAGATGAACAGCTGATCGCTGGCCGCCCAGTCTTCCCAAGGCCCAACGCTCCCAAGGAAACAAAAAATTCCCGGAGCTCCAAAATGCGGCTCCGTTTTGCTCTTTCACGTGGCATTTATGTTTCAGTAATGCAACAGCTGTGTCAAAACCGCACAGAAATGTGGAAGTAACATCTACGTTATTTGGGTTCAGTGTAACTCAATTCAAATTGTCAGCAAAAGTTTCAGGAACTTATTGAACTTCTGCTATTTTCAGCGGTGTTGTTAAAATCACGACCATGAGACATGAAATGCAAACTTGCAGCCAAATTTGTATTCAAATCCACTTCAGGTTAATTTGATCGGTCTGTCTGCTGAGTGGATATTAACAGCTGCAGTAGAGAAGTGTCAAGATCATTGAGTTAATGCTGTTAAGATTTGTTTAAATAGTTACACGCATCCTTCCGGAACCTGCTTAGAATTAAATGGATATTTACAATCGTCTTTGGATGAGACGTTTAAACCGAGGTCCTGTCTGTGCCTGTTCAGGTGGATGTTAAAGATCCCACGGCACTATTCAAAAAGAGAAGCAAGTTTCTCTCTCTCTCTCTCCCAGTGTCCTGGCCAACAATTCGCCCAATTTTTTGCCCACAAATATACAGTTGTTGTTTATCAATGGCTCTTGTCTTTATTTTGCAGGGCACACCTGTTGAAATCCTACCTTTTCTATACTTGGGTAGTGCTTACCATGCCTCCAGACTGGACTTCCTGGATGATCTCTGCATCACTGCTTTGTTGAATGTCTCCCGTAACTGTGCAGAGTACTTCAAAGGCAAATATCTTTATAAATTCATCCCAGTGGAAGATAACGCAACTGCAGACATCAGTTCCTGTTTCCAGGAAGCCATCGACTTCATAGGTATGTGATACTTGATGCTTCTGACGGCCTATTTTATACTTGCTCCTCATTGCATTTTAAAAAAAAAGAAGCACCCAATTTTGGAGTTCAACACCTGCAGAAAAATATGGCAACAGAAAATTCTCTTGGTCTTAGCCTCAATAAGATCATTGCTTTTGCTATAACATCTTAAAGCAGTGTCCAACGCTTCTGAGAAGTATAGTGACTGTGTATTTGTAGGCGAACATCACAGCCAGTGTGTGACGCACAAACAGTCGTGAAGCAAATTACCAATTGTACCTGGAGACTTGTTGCCAGGACACCTGGAAGGGGGGGGGGGCAGGGGTGGGAGAGAGGGAAACTTCTCTTTTTGAAAGAGCATCTGAACAGGCAACTCATTTTCTTTTAGCATCTTCTCTGGAACAAAGAGCCGATCTGGTTTAGAGGTCAGGACCTGGCTGATAGACCAGTCAGACTGGCTCATTGGCAGGACTTGTATGGGCAGATTGGTCACTGGGAACAGAGACGGACCCATGTTTCACCAACAAAATACAGTCAATCCACTTTACAATGTATTTTGTGAAGTGCGTTGAGATGTCTCAACGATGTGTTAAAGTACTATATCAAACACAAGGCACCTCCAATAGTGCAGAGTTCCCCCAGCAGAACTCCCTCTGTATCAAATGCAAGGGTTATTATTGTATTACTATTAGATCTTTCTTTGATTTAACTGAAGTTTTTTTTTAATTAAACAGATAATGTGAGACAAGAAGGAGGGAAGGTCCTGGTACACTGTGAGGCAGGCATCTCCCGTTCCCCCACAATCTGCTTGGCTTACCTAATGAGGAGCAAGCAGCTACGACTGGAGGAAGCCTTCGATTACATCAAGCAACGAAGAGCTGCCATTTCACCCAATTTTGGCTTCATGGACCAGTTGCTGCAGTACGAGTCTGAGGTCCTCTCTCTCGCTCCCAGCTCCCCCGTCAAACCATGCTCCACAGAGGAAATGACCTACAACAATAGTTTGGAGAGCTCGGTTTACACTTTCCCCAGTACTCTTTTGGACACAGTACCAATACCGTCGTCGGTCCACCAATTTGAGTTCAGCCCAATAAAAGTGTCTCTCTCATGCTGAAATAACAGGGCATCAGAAACTCTGCACTGATGGAAGGAATCTTGATGTTGAATTGCAAAAGCTTTTAAGTGATGGGAAACATAGACCATGTCTGATTTTAAGCTTTGTGGTTTTTTATAAATATATAAAGAAATGATCCAATACAGTAGTGCATATCAAGCGTAATAACTGTCTAAGCTTCGTAACTGCCCATGTGTATCAGTGCATCTTCTGCATCAGAGCTGAAGATGGCTTCATCTCATTAGCACAAGCAGGTGGGTGTTTTGCCAACTGTCTTGTGCAGATACATATACATGTACTGTGTGTGTTTGTGTGTCTGTGTGTCGGGTGGGGGGGAGGGATGGAGGGTAGAGTCTTTCACTGTCTGATGTATTTTGAAATCTTTTGAGTAAGACCAATGAGAAATTGATATCAACCAAAGAGGTGGTAACATTGCCCACACTTTTTACATTGATAACAATTCAGGTGCCAATTCAGAGCTTTGTATCATTGTCTTTGTAGCAAGCATTTGCATAAACAGTCTACTTTTATGTGCGTCCTGTTGAGAACGTGTAATAAGTGTTGCCGGTGTATTCAAAGAAAGAGCGATAATGCAAAGTGTGGAGTGCAGCAGTTAGAAATCTATTGTTTGTCTGGATCTACAGTCATTGATGGGTCATTAATTGGCTAAATCATGCTCTTTATTGTTGCTCATCCTGGCCTTGGCACATCTGCCAAAATCTCCCGTAGTCATTTACCAGAAGGGACCACTTGGGTGTATTATTTCTATCTGAATTCCATTCCCTGTCTAGAGAGATGCTGCAAGAATTTGGTTTGAGTTTCTCTGTCCACTATGGGAATCGAGCCATGGAAGAAATCCAGCTTTCCTTCCCCCTGCAGTATGATAATCGACCAATTCATCCCTTATACCCATTGAAGGCTTGAGGTTGATTAGATGTTGGACATGTCTACACCTCCACGTCTACCTGGTTTATCAGGTGTATCTCATCAGGGACAGTTTAATCCAAGGGAGATCCCACTTAACTACCGACCACGGAAGGGTGCATTTTAAGACCGATTCACTCATTTTATCGACCTCGGCAGGATGAAGGGCTAAGAGGACTCACCAGGGTTCAAAGCCCCCATTTTTCCAATCCCGAGTCTCGACTAAATGAGCGACCTGGAATATTACTTTTAATCTTATAATACAAGTGGTTTGTACATTGCCATTTTCTGGGTTTAAAGTTTGTGCACCTGACGCGTCGAACCTGAATCAAACATGTACACTTACGTCATTTTTACTTCATCCAGCTTTGCGAGCACATCGGCACGCAACTACCTCTGGAAGTTGGACGAGACTTTAAAAACAAGCTTAAGACAAATGCTGGTGCCTTGCTCTAATTCTAAGGCTTTAAATGATTGTTGAATCCCACGTCTCTGTGTCGTCAGCCTTTCTGATTTGCATGCATCCAAGCTAACTGAGTTTATACTAAATGCAGTTCAATTCATTGCGTCGTTTGTCTCAGGATTTTGTGAAGTTACTGTATAAAGTCTGAGCTGTGTAAATATTTCAGGGATTGTTGCAATTGTCCTTTTGTGTCGGAGCAATATGGAAACATAACGATACGGGTGGAGGTTTTATTGGTATGTTTTACTGTACAGTGTTAATAAAATTTTTAAATTGAAAAATAGACTTTGGACTGAATTCCGATCATTTCTTGGGAAATACTCATTTAATTTTTTTTAAAAAAAAATACTCCGATCAGTTTGCCCAAATTCCTTTGCCCCGGGAGGAGAGTTTTCCTGACGTGAAAGATGCCATATCAAATATCAGTATTGTTTTATATGTAAGTGACATACATTGGCCTTTGATTGAATGGAATCTAGGTTGATTCAGCACAATTTCAGTGCTGGGGTTATGTACAGTCACTGCACCTTATAGTACTGTATATCCTGTGAAGTGCTTTGAGTCATCCTCCTGAAGGTGCTATACCAAATGTAAGGATTATTGTCAAAAAAAGGTATCCTATCAAATGATAACACCCTCAATTTATTCTTAATCCCTTGACTCCAATTTCTCAGGTCTGAACTTGCATAACGTAGGCTGACGATTCGATAAAGCTTTGGGGCTGCTTTGCATCGTTGGAGATTCGTCCTTCTATTGAGATGTTAAGCTGAAGTCCTTCTGTTTGTTTAGGCAGATGTTAAAGATCCCATGGTAGTATTTGAAAAGAGAAGGGAGTTTTCTCCTGGTGTCCTGGCCAACAAATGAAAGAATTTACATTGTATTAATTATTAGACCGTATATGTCCATCCACTATTTTGATCAATTCGCTCTCAATCCATTCCCTCACCAGAAATGGATTGAGTTGCTCACTTAAATGTCTGATATAAAGCAGGTTTCATGGCAACTTACTGCACAAATCCACTTCCTTTTGTCTGAAAAGTGTTGCGTGATTTTCTTATGTCCATTGGGGTTTGATATCCTCACTCTATTGGACATATTTTTACATATCAACCTTAATCTCCTTCATAATCTTGAATTTAATCACTTTGAGACAACACAATGGCACGATAAGAATTTAAATGCTTTGATACATCTCAACGACATGGTAGGGTGCTAGATCAAATACAAGGATTATTATTGAATAATTTATATTCCCAATAAAATAACCCAATTTGCTCAACTGCTACTTGTTTGCCCACAATACACACAGTTGTTGCACTTCACAGTATATCCTGTGAAGCAATATCGATATCAAAAGTTCATCCATACCAAATGCAAGTATTATTATTGTGGCAAATCAGGTAGCCCTCTGCTTGAAACTTTTGTTCTAACGTCTCCCTTAACTTTTCCAAAGGCAACCGTGCCCTTATGCTTCCTTGTTTCTGACGACCAAGTGTCCAAAATAACCTTTCACGATTTTATCTTCTCAAACACTTGGCTGTGCGTAATTGGATGCCACATTTCGCCCACAAAATACAGTTGCCACACTTTACAGTATATTCAGTTAAGGCATTTGAAGCATCTCAAAGATGTGATAAGGCGCTACATCAAGTACAAGTATTACTATTATTAAATGCACAAATAGTACATGTTTCCTGACAAAGAGGCAGAGTATATAATCTCATACTTTTTTTAAACCTAAAAGTTATTCTTTCTCATAAATTTAGTTTTCAATCTCACTGAAGCACCAGGTTAAATCTCCTTCCAATTGTTATTTGCAAGATTAAACACATATTTTATGGATTTTATTCCATTCATACAAAAAAGTTCATTTTTTGTCCTTACAATACATGTACAATATGTTTTTGACGCCGCTTCTAAATGCCTTGAGACACCCTCCTCACGCAAAAGGTACTACATCAATGTAAACCGTATTGCTTTGTAGATCCTCCCTTCCACCGATGCATTGCAATGCTCAATTCTGAATTATAATAATAATAATAATTCTTGAATTCACAAAATTATCTGGAGACTAACTGCGTATCATTCCACAGATAAAAGACCCAGTCAATCTACTTTGCAGTGTATTCTGTGAATCACTTTGAGACGTCTGAACGAGGGGGGGATAAGGCGCTGTATGAAGTGCAAGGAGTATTATCATAACTATAATAACTTTAGAGCAATTTAATCCAATGCCCCTTGTGAGCCCACGCCATGCCCCTTTAAGATGTCTGCCCCTTTAAGACAGGCGCCAGAATTTTACTTTGCCGCCGATTTTTTAACTCACGCCCCCCCCGACCCCGGATCAAACCATCGGCCCGGAGTGAGGGGGGGGAGTGTGGGGGGGAGAGAGGTCAAACAAGTTACGAACTTGGCAATAAAAAGCGCTGAACGAACGAACGACCGAGAATCGGACGATTGCCTCAACCAACATGGAATGGAGTGCACGCGCAGCCCCGGGTCGGTTGGAGCCGCGGAGGCCGCTCTCAGCCTCACCCGCCCCCCCCCCCCCCTCCCGGGCGGTCAGATGGTGCGGGCGGGCGGGCGGGCGCGCGGCCGCCGCCATTTTGGCGCCGTTCTCGGTGTTGTTTCTCCGGCGGAGAAGATACGGATTTATTTGGGGACTACATTTCCGAGCGGTGGCGTCCGCCGCTCCCGTCCCGCCCTCCGTCGCCGGGTTGTAGCCACAGACACGCACGTGTGTGTGGGTGTGCGTGTGTGTGTGTGTGTGTGGGGGGGGTTCCTTGACGCACAAAAACACGGGCCGCCGGGGCGGCGAGGCCGAGCTCCGTGAGGAGAATGTACATCAAACAGGTACAGGCGGCGCGGCGCGGCCTAGGCCCGGCTCCCCCCCCCCCCCCCCCCCGGGAAACAGCGGCGGCGGCGGGAGAGTAATGATAATAATAATAATAATAATAAGTCTTGCGTTCGAGACTCTTTGCGCCCGATCGCGTCGTCGAGGCGCCTCGAATGCGCTTCACGCGACAAGACTGGAAGGTGTAGTGACTGTGTATTTTCGCGGGCGAGAGACGCGGCAGCCAATCGCGCTCAGCGACGTCCCCCCTTTCCCCCCCACCCCCCACCGCGCGCACGCGCGCGAACAGCCGCGGGGGGGGGGTGAGAGCAGCGACCCCTCCCCCCCCTCTCCCCCCCCCTCTCCCCCACACAGTTACTATCTATTTTCGATGAAGGGGATTATTACCCCCGGAAAAGCGATCCGCCGGTCGGCGTGACGCCCGGGTTCCGACTCGCTGCCGGGTCGGTCACCAGAGGCGTGTGTGGGGGTGAGGAAACCCGCCGGGTCCTCCACTGCACTCCAATAAGGGTCGCGAGGCTAATTTGGGGGAGGGGGGGGGGGACGGGGTGGTGGGGGGAGGGGGGGACGGGGGAATGATAGTCTGATTCAAATCAAGTCTGCGCTCCCACCAAAGTTTCCAGGTTGTTGTTAATACCCTTTGCATTTTTTTTTGATAGAGCGCCTTATCGCGTCGTCGCGACGCCTCAAAGCGCTCCACGGGATGTACTGTGAAGTGAAGTGACTGTGTATTTTCGCGAGCGAACCGGGGTCGGGCAGGTCCAGGTGTTGGGGAGTGTCAGCCCAGACTGTCAGCCAAGGCTCCGCGACCCTATCACCCCCCCCCCACCCCACCCCAAACTCGCCCGATTCCACTGGCTTCCCATCACACAGAGGATACACTTCAAGATCCTGGTCCTCGCCTTCAAAGCCCACCATGGTCTTGCTCCCCCCCCCCCACCTCCCCCACCACCACCTCTGCAACCTCCTAACCCCCTACCATCCTGCTCGCTCCCTCCGGTCAGCGGGCTCCGGCCTGCTTCACGTCCCCCGCCTCGCTCGCCCCACTATTGGCGGACGGGCCTTTTGCCACTCTGCCCCCACCCTGTGGAATTCCATCCCGCTGTCCCTCCGCCTCGCCCCCTCCCTCGCCTCCTTCAAGACCCATCTCAAGACCCTCCTCTTCGACCGTGCTTTTGATCTCCCTGCTTCCCGCGCTTTGAGACGTCTAGAAGAGCGCTATATCAAACGCAGGGATTATTATTATTATTATTCCCCTCCCTGCCCGCCACCCTCCCCGATCCCAACCCCAGCTCGGTTCCGAAACTCTTGTCTGTCCAGCGCCTTGGGACGTCCTCGCAAATGTAATACAAATGTAATTTTGTTGTTGTTGTTGATGGAGAGCTAGGAATCGCAGGCCTGGTTTTGAACAAGGGTAGTTTCTGTCTGGTGAAGTTGCCTTGACAGTTAGGCTTTGCCAGGGATTCTGTCACTGATGCTCATGAGGAGAGTAAATGCAAGGGACACCCACATGCTCATATTGGCCAGTTTATTTGTTTCCCCTGTTGAAGATAAATATCTTTTTCTGCTTTCAACTTGTCTGAAGTTTTTTTTTCGAAAGTTGAGCGTATTGAAGGCTAACGTATGCTCTTTTAAAGGTGGGTGAGCTATTCGGTTTAGTTTTAATTTTTTTTTACAGTTTAATACATTAAATATTAGGCCCGGGTCATATCAGAATTAGGTAAGCAGGTTGCGTCCCTCTAGGGAGAGGGTGCGCATTTCATTCCAACAATCTTTACCTCTGGAACTTCCATGTGCAGATGGGATGCACAGATTTCTCAGTTTCGTTTGGATACTCTTTAAGCATGGTGATAGGTTTCCACAGGCATCAGACACCCGGCTGACCCCCCCCAAAAAAGTAAATGAACATAGATCCCCCCCCAATCCCCTCGCAGTGGTTTTTCACCTTCAAGGACGGGCTCTCTTCTCTTTCGTTCTAGATTTCATAGGAATATACAGTATCAATAAAGACTATTGTCTTCTGCTAATCTTAACTGTTAGAGTTGCCTGCAATGCTTCTCTTAAATTGTGAGGTAACCGGAGGACCTATGCGGATGAGGAAAATCCAGAGTAAAGTGTTCTTTTTTAAAAAAAGTTAGGATTCCTCCCTACAGGCAAAATAAAAGTAATTGTAGTCATTTTTTTATATATCGAAGATGAAATACATCCCTCCACATCCCTTTCCTTTTAATTCAGTGAGATCCACTGCTGCCTTCTCCATTCACATCCAAGTTATGAAAAATAGTGATGAGTAACGAGCTACAAATGGAGAAATAAGAATTGAGAAAAACAAACCAATCAATCTAGTGATTTCCCGCTGGTTCGGTGGGTAAATAATATTGCTTGCAAATTAATATAGAGCCTATAACATCAAAATGTCTCAGAAGATCACTATCACATGACTGGGTGACTGTGTAGTTTTACACAAAAGCAGCAGCCAATTTGTGAACATCAAGGTCCCCACAAATAGTGAGTCCTGTAGCTCAGTGGTTAGAGCACTCACTTTGCAAGTGAGAGACCGGAGTTCAATTCCAGACAGAGGGCGAAACCTTGGGCAAGTTTCCTTACTCCACACAGAGCCTAATAATAATCCCTCCAAAACCAAAAACAATAATAAATTGGTCATTTTCAATCTACGACTGTTTGTGGGACATTGCTGTGCGCAATTGGCTGCCGCGTTCGCCCACAAATATACAGTCAATTCACTTTACAGTGTGTTCTGTGAAGCGCTTTGGGACGTCCTCCCGACGTGAAAAGCGCTATATCAAATGCAAGGATTATTATTATTATTATATAAATAGTCAAGAAGTAAAAGACGAGTTTGTAGAATTCTTTGGCAAAGACGAGAAGAGATGCTCAACATCTCTTAATAATAATAATAATCTTTGCATTTTCACGTGCTTTTCACATCTTCTAGATGTCACAAAGTGCTTTACACTGTCAAGTGAATTGACCGTATATTTGTGGGCGAAACGTGGCAGCCAATTTCGCACAACAGTGTCCCACAAACAGTCGTGGATTGACACTTTTCAAATAGTGTCAGGGTATCTTCCACCTCCCAACGATTTAGTGCTCCCCAACACTGTGCTGAAGCATTACCTAAGATTATGAGCTCTTGACTAAATGTAGGGGTTGAATCCATAACCTTCTGACCCAGAAGTGACAGTGGTACCAACTGAGCCAGGCTGACACTTAATATGTACAATGGAAGTACTCGTAGAATCAAAGATTTGTTTACTTGAAATTATTTAATAAGAAAGAAAATGAGTGGGCTGCCAGTTATGCCAGTAACTATCCTCATTCGGATTTTCTGGCAAATCTCCATAATGCTACTTTGAAAACACAATTGTTGTTGTTGTTGTAAATGGCAATGGCAAGGAGTAAATGGCACCCTGGTACTGCACCGACATTTCAGTTGCAAGCTCTCACTAATGGCACTTGGATGAGCTTAGAATCGTAGAATATCACAGCACAGAAGGAGGCCATTCAACTCAGCGTGCCTATACCGGCTCTTTGGAAGAGCGACCCAATCAGTCCCACTCCTTGCTCTTTCCCCATAACCCTGCAAATTTGTCCTTTTCAAGTACCTATCCAATTACCTTTTGAAAGTTGTTATTGAATCCGTTTCCACCAGACTTTCAGAGGGTGCATTCTAGACCGTAACAACTCTGTGTGAAATACATAAATAATAATAATTCGAAAACTCTCTGTGTAGATATTTTTGAACGGTATCTGCCCATTAAATAAAACAGAAGTAATGGAAATACACAGCAGTCAATCAGTAGAAAGAAAAAAAGCACGAGGTTAAAATTTCAGGTATGACTGCCTGAAATTATATTTTTCAATTTTCGGAGCTGATTGAAATGCAGTCCATTTCTACTTTTTTTTAAAACAAATCATTTGGTTTTGGTAAAATAACTTTGAGCTTCAGTGGGTATGAAATCATAATGTATAGTGATTGAGAAAGCTTAAAAGACCTGGGATACCGGGGCAAAACTTCAGATATTATCAAAAGCTGCAAAACCTGGCCTCTTGTAAGCGAGGTGCGTAACACAGGCCATCAGAATCAAAATAACTGTGGAAGATGTCTCCAACTATTCTGTTCTGTTAAACTTGTAACACCAACCACATCCATTCTGATTCTAATTTAAAAAATCTGACTGTTGGAGGGAACTTTCTTTTTTTCTAATTGACAACTGCACTTGTATCATTTTGGTGTTGATACCTTATAATAATAATAATAGAGTGGAGTCCTGTAGCTCAGTGGTTAGAGCACTCGCCCTGCAAGCGAGACACCTGGGTTCAATTCCAAGCAGAGCGAAACCTTGGGCAAGTTCCCTTACTCCACACGCCTAATAATAATAATAATCCTTGCATTTGATATAGCGCTTTTCACGTCGGGAGGACGTCCCAATGCGCTTCACAGAACACACTGTAAAGTGAATTGACTGTATATTTGTGGGCGAACGCGGCAGTCAATTGCGCACAGCAATGTCCCACAAACAGTCGTAGATTGAAAGTGACTAATTTATTATTGTTTTTGGTTTTGGAGGGATTATTATTAGGCTCTGTGTGGAGTAAGGAAACTTGCCCAAGGTTTCGCCCTCTGCCTGGAATTGAACTCAGGTCTCTCGCTTGCAAAGCGAGTGCTCTAACCACTGAGCTACAGGACTCCAAAAAAACAAAAACAATAATAAATTGGTCATTTTCAATCTACGACTGTTTGTGGGACATTGCTGTGCGCAATTGGCTGCCGCGTTCGCCCACAAATATACAGTCAATTCACTTTACAGTGTGTTCTGTGAAGTGCTTTGGGACGTCCTCCCGACGTGAAAAGTGCTATATCAAATGCAAGGATTATTATTATCATAAACCTTGGGCAAGTTTCCTTACTCCACACAGAGCCTAATAATCCTCCAAAACAAAACAATAATAAATTGGTCATTTTTAATCCACGACTGTTTGTGGGACTCTGCTGTGCGCAATTGGCTGCCGCGTTCGCCCACAAATGTACAGTCAATTCACTTTACAGTCTATTCTGTGAAGCGCTTTGAGACGTCGAGAAGACGTGAAAAGCGCTACATCAAATGCATGGATTATTATTATTATTGATACCTTATGTATATCCTTAGATACATTTCTGCACTTCATTTGTTAATTGTGTGCTATGATTTTACGGGATCTATTATGTGTTGTGTAAATGGATGTGTACAGAGCACATTACAGGTCCTCTCAATTATGCAGTTAAACAAATCATAATATTTACAAAATAATTAGCGCCTTGGGACATCCTTTCGACCTAAAAGGTGTTATATAAAAGCAATCTGTTGTTGTTGTAACAGACATTCTTTTTGATGTGATAATTATGTAATTAAGGGGAACTGTAATTCCCTCTGTACATGTGTGTTTACACATGGAATGTAGTACAGCTATTCACACTTGGTGCACATTCGACCCCTTCTCCCTAGTAATAGTAACTTTCTTTCAATAATGTGTAAGCTTTTGATGCAGTTTTCCAACAAAAACTTCCGTTTCTACTGGCGATTTGATGGGACTGAAATGTTATTTAGGGTTGAGTGGTTCTGACTTCACAGTGCATTGTGGTTGGTCAGCTCAATAAAAGCTATCTTAATAAAATAAAAATTAATGACCGAGTGTATTTTGTGATTGTTGGCTCACTAGAGTGCTATTTTTGTATAATATACAAACATGTAAATATCCTCCAGGGAACAAGTGAGGCATGAAGCCAAAGCCTTGCATCACAATTTGTATTCTACTAGTAGCACCTGCAAGAGATTCTTATAAAAGATCGGTACAACCACATTATTGTTGTTCCAACATTTCCTTGCTTGAATATTTTAATTAACAGCCAACGTCAGAGCCAGCGATGGAACTATCCTGGAGTGGGTGGGGGAGGAAACAGGAAAACTGTCCAGCTCAGGAAAAGAAACCTGTCAGTGGCCAGTGACAGTCCTGTTAACTATCCTTTGAGAACAAAACCAAACATCATCTTGTAGCCTGAAATTCATTATCGAACGTGTCATTGGTTTGTATGAAAATCTAGCAAGGACTCTACAAAAATAATGTCATGAGATAGAATTGGAAATATTATTCTTCAAGTCAAAAAAGAGTTTCCTTTTAGTTTAAACCTATACGATGCGTAAGGTTGTGCATAAAAGGCAATGCTGTGCTTATGAACTCTAGAAATCTTTCCAAGGACATTAGTGTCAGCCTAAATAAATGGTCTTAAATTGATAGTGTAAACAGAGTATGACTTTTTCCTTGGTCAATCACTAGAGGGTGTGATCTTAAACGTAAGGCAAATAGGTTAGCACTGAGGCGAGGTTGAATCTCTTTTTGCAGACAATGATAACATGTTAAAATGAGCAGTTCTGGAAAGTCGTGCATGAAAAAGCTTTTGGGTGAGGAGCTCGAGAAAGAGATTGATAGATACTTGGGAAGTAGAAAATGTTAAAAGAATATACAAGAAGATGGGAAAGTGGGATTGGGAGAAATTGATTGTGAGGAGTGTCATTGGAATGAATTGTTGTGCTGGGGTGGATGTTGTGAGCCGAATGTCCTCTTTACCCTAAATTCCTGTGTAGTCTTATCCCTTCTCAATTTCCTTCAAAATGTACTAGTCCCGTATTCTCTGTAGGGAGTGGCTGCGTTGATGAAAACCCTTTTGCTTTACGTTCTATTTGATTCAATGTATATGGAATCTAATTATATCATGAGGGAGTTAATTTTACTGTTTCTTGCTTTCAGGTAATTATCCAGGGTTTCCGCAGCTATAGGGATCAAACAATTGTTGACCCTTTCAGCTCAAAACACAACGTCATAGGTAAGGTTTTGCATTGGATAATTCAATAGGATTTAACCAGCCAGTTGATTGTAAAGGTTCCAAGCGAGTACTGTTAAATTATTTGTATTACTTTATGTGTACACCTACAATTTAGAGCTCTCTGTGAGCTTGAGTCAGTTTCCAACTATTTTTCGTACATGATAGATGATGTGCGTTTGAGTTTACTTAGAATTGTCTTACTGTAATAAAATTTAAACTCATTTAGCTTCTGATTTAGGCCTTTCAGTAAGGAATTTGATAGGCACGTACATTTTTTCATCTCTCTGGAGAGGTGAAAAGTGGTATTGTGTTGCACGTATTGTGGTATAACTTTTCTATGTCCTTTATCTTCAGTTGGTCGAAATGGATCTGGAAAAAGTAACTTTTTCTATGGTAAGATTTGATACTTGTTTAAACAAAAAGTCGCTTTTTCAGAAGTTACTATAACGTTTCAGAGAATATGTTCACTATAATGATGACAAGCTTTAAAATATAAAATTATTACCTCCATCCATTTGGCTGCTAAAAATCTAACTTCAATATTTGTACAAAATAAAATGTTTAACTACGCCCTTGTTATGTTCATAATGACTTTTGCTGGGAATGGTACCTCAGTGTAGCACATTTAGAAGATAGGGTTGGTAGTGTATGGGTTTATGGCTGTGACTGTCCCAAATAATAATTCCTAGACTGCAAACTTACTGCTTTATGAAAGCTCCAGTCAGAGATTCAAACGCTTCCCGGAGGAGGTAAAGGGAATTTCCCTAATTCCTTTTCCACACCTTTGTGAAGATCTTGAGACTCACAATCGGAGAGATTAGAGGTTCATCTGAAGCATCATAGAATTTTAACCTTCTAAAAGGAGGCCATTCGACCAGACCCATCATGTCTGTGCTGGTTCTAACTCCACAATCTCATTACTGTGCTTCTTCATACCCTTTAATATATTAATTTTGAATGTGTTCTTGTACAATGACTGAACCGGATCAATTTTGGCAATTCTTTGAATGTAAATATATTCACATTTAATTCCTTTTTTGTTATCCTCCTCCCAGCGATCCAGTTTGTGCTCAGTGATGAGTTCAGCCACCTTCGTCCGGAACAGAGACTTGCTCTGTTGCATGTAAGTACTAATCGGTTGCAGAGGGGCAAAAAAAAATTGACTAATTTTGTGTCGCATTTAACAACCATCTGTATCTCAAGAGCAAGGTACATATTTTTCAGTAAATATGTATCTAATTTTGAAAGTACTTGCTTTTTTTTAAGAACTTTCTGATTAAAAAGTTTAGCCTTATGGCATTGCTTGACATAACAACGTATTATTTTTCATTCATATCACCAAAGGTTCAAGTAGTGATGTAAAGAGATCTAATTTCTATGTGAAGAAGTATCACCTGACTTAACATCTAACTGACTTTGTTCCAATTATGTTCCCTTGTTATGGATCTCTTTACCAGAATGAAGAGTGATCCCCTATCTAGCTTGGCAATTCCCTTCATTCTTAGAATCAGCGAATGTCACACTGTCTCATTCCCTTTTGTTTTGCATTTAATATTGCTGATTTAATTACAATACACATTGTAATTTTTATACGGAATATTTCAGTACAATTACATGTTTGATTCACTTCAGTTTTTTGATTGCTCTTTATAGGAAGGAACTGGACCTCGTGTTATTTCAGCGTTTGTTGAAATCATATTCGATAATTCAGACAACAGATTACCAGTAAGTATGTTCGTCACTGAATTTCATTTTACTGTTAATTACTTTGCACGTTGTGAGTAAGGACTGGCTTTCTCTTTTAAGTTACCTAGTGTAAGGTACCGCTTTCTCCTGACAGGAGAAAGGGATAGTCTGGAACATCACTGCATCAAGGTTGCAACAACAGTTAGCACTTATTTAGCACCTTTAGAGTTGTTCCTTTTTTTCCTTATGCTTATCCTTATTTATATGGCCAATTATTAAAATGCCTTTTTTTCCATTCTGTAGATCGATAAAGAAGAGGTTTCGCTCCGCCGTGTCATTGGAGCTAAGAAGGATCAGTACTTTTTAGACAAAAAAATGGTGACGTAAGTTTTGTTTCCAGTTTCTAGTCCACTTTTGGATATGAGATAAATAATCTTATAATAAGATTATTTTAATGGAGTTTACATCTTATTTAAATCCTATTGGTACATTTATATACATACAATAACTAAGCTGCCAGGGTCCTTGATTACGTGAATTCTTAATTAAATTTGTAGCTTTCTCAGCATGGTCTGGTGATTGAAACTGGGACCTTCAAGGTCTGATTGATTAGTGATAACAACAACTTGGATTTATATAACGCCCTCTACACCGGATGGTGTCTCAAAGCGCTTAAGTACAGTGGCAGTACCTTACATAACTGCTATGGGAACAGTGTCATGGCTACATTTGTATCATAACTTCCCCCCCCCTCCTCTTTTTGTTCAATAGGAAAAATGATGTCATGAATCTTTTGGAGAGTGCTGGATTTTCAAGAAGCAATCCTTACTACATTGTCAAGCAAGGCAAGGTAATGGAATCAAAAATATTCATCCTTATGGTCTTTCGTGGCTTGAAGAATGTTTTTTTTAAACTCTATCACTGCAAAAAGATCCTTTATTTGGAACAATAAGTCACGTAGAGAGTCAGACTAAAGGAGTAATTAAGACTGAAGTGTTGCCATGTCAGATATCCGAACAGCAGTTCATTTGGTGAAACTGGTTCAATTCATTTTGGAGCCTGCAACAGTCTTTGAACTTAGATTTTGTAGCTAGTCTTCTTCATAGCTATGATTAAGAGCTTGAGTGGCAGTGATATCTGTTGTAATTTTTAATACAGCTTCTCTCATCCCTGTCAGCTTGATCAACACTTTGATCTGATTACAACAGTCACTTTCAGTTCGAGAAAACTGTTGAGGGAGGGATGGGAAGAAACAAATTTGCATTTTATTTGTGGTTGAGGAGGAGGACAAATGTCAACTCAAGATACAGAAGACAACCAAATAGAATATAGGAAGTGCAGAAGAGATTTGAAAAAGGAAATAAGAGGGGCAAAAAGATTATACAAAAAACGGTTAGCGGGTAACATTAAAGGCAATTCTAAAGTACTTTACAAACATATCAAGAAAAAAAGGCTAGTCAAAGTTAGCCTGGGGCCAATTAAGGACCAAAAGGGAAAAACTTATTGTGGAGGCAGAGGGCATGGCTGATGTGCTGAATGAGTACTTTGCATCTGTCTTCACAAAAGAAGTGGATGCACCAAATGCCGTAGTATCAGAGGAGAGGGTAGAGGGAATGGATAGGATAAGTATAAACAAAGAGGAAGTACTGAAAAGGTCGACTGGGCTGAAGGTAGATAAGTCGCCCGGTCCGGACGGGATGCAACCAAGGTTACTATGGGAGGTACGGGTACAAATAGCGGAGGCTTTGGCTACAATTTTTCAATCTTCGTCGGACACAGGAATGGTGCCAAAGGACTGGAGAGTGGCCAATGTGACTCCCCTGTACAAAAAGGAACAGAAGGACAAACCTGGGAACTACAGGCCAGTCAGCCTAACATCGGTAGTGGGGAAACTCCTGGAGACTATAATCCGGGACAGAATAAATCTTCACTTAGAAGAATATGGGATAATTAGGGACAGCCAACATGGATTTGTTAAAGGCAAATCTTGTCTAACAAATCTAATAGAATTTTTCGATGAGGTAACGGAGAGGGTGGATAAAGGTAGTGCAGTTGATGTTGTTTATATGGACTTTCAAAAGGCATTTGACAAGTGCCACATGAAAGACTTGTAAGAAAGATAGAAGCCTATGGTATAAAAGGGGGAGTGGCAGCATGGATCCAGAACTGGCTGGAAGACAGAAAGCAGAGAGTTGTGGTGAACGGCTGCTTTTCTGACTGGAGGGAAGTGTACAGTGGCGTCCCCCAGGGCGCGGTATTAGGACCACTGCTCTTCTTAATATACATAAATGATCTGGACTTGGGTATAGCAAGTACCATTTCCAAGTTTGCGGACGTCAGAAAGTTAGATAGGGTAGTAAACAGTGAGAAGGGTAGGAGCCAATTGCAGGAAGACATAGACAGAATAGTAAAATGGGCGACACATGGCAGATGAGTTTCAATGTAGAGAAATGCAAAGTAATGCATTTTGGTAGAAAGAATGAGGGGAGGCAATACAGGCTGGTAATACAATCTTAAGGGGTATAAAAGAACAGAGAGACCTTGGGGTGCAGGTAAATAAATCCTTGAAGGTGGCAGGACAAGTAGATAAGGCTGTAAAAAGGGCAAATGGGATTCTAGGCTTTATAAATAGGGGCATAGAGTACAAGAGTCAGGAGGTTATGATTAACCTATATAAAACACTGGTTAGGCCTCAGTTAGAATACTGCGCCCAGTTCTGGGCACCACACTATAGGAAGGATGTTAAGGCATTGGAAATGCTGCAGAGGAGATTTACGAGGATGGTACCAGGAATGAGGGACCTTGATTATGAGGAAAGGCACGAGAGGCGAGGATTATTCTCATTGGAGCAGAGAAGGTTACGAGAAGACCTAATAGTGGTCCTCAAAATCATGAGGGGATTTGATAGGTTAGAAAGGAAAAAACTGTTTCCACTGGTGTGTGTCGGTGACTCGAGGTCACAGATTCAAAACAGTCTCTAAAAGAAGCAGAGGGGAGAGGTGAGAAGACATTTTTTCACGCAACCAGTTGTTCGAATCTGGAACCCATTGCCTGAAAGGGCGGTCGAGGCCGATTCGATAACTACTTTTAAAAACGCGGTGGACGGGTATTTGAGGAGGACGGATTTGCAGGGTTATGGGGAAAGGGCTGGGGAGTGGGATTGACATTAATTGCTCTATTCAAAGAGCCGCCACAAACTCGATGGGCCGAATGGCTTCTTTTTGTACTGTACAACTTTATGATTCTGTGAGGAGGGGAATGGAGATTAGCTGTCAGTGTGTGAAGTTATATTTACACTTGCTTTGGAAACTGTTGTGTCCTGACAGGATATCGCTTGACAACTCAGCTGCATCTTATCGCAGATTGTATTTGCTTTAACAAGTCTTAGGTTTCGGTTGAAATCGATGAGTCAGCCCACTTAGTCTTTGGAGTGAGTGTACCATCTGCACCTGTGTGTGGTGTGCTCAGTTTCGCTTAATTCCTTAACGTAAGAGTGAAAATACTCTTTGAGCATTATAGTTACCATTTGCAGCTGTCTGAATTATTTACAATGCGGTGTCCTTATAATGCAGTGAATGGGGGGGGGTCCACACAATGAAACTGAGTTATAAACGGGGTGTGTAATATTGAGACCGTGTGTACTCACTTTTGGAGTTGCCAGGGTTGTAGCTGAAGTGGTGAAACCTGCATTCCTTGAGCAGGAAGCCCACCAGACGGAGTGTTACTTTTTAAGAAAACACAGTTACCAGGTTATATCGGAACCTGCAGTAGACTATTATAATAAGGCTGACCTACGTAGATTTTTTTTTGGAAGCCAAACCCCTGACGGGTAGGCTGGTCGTACCTGGACAAGCAGCGGGAAAGCTTGCCTGACAGCAATACCAACGGCAAGCCATGCGGTTTTAGCTGGTGAGACTCCAGCAGTTACCCCAACACACACTCTGGGGTCCCTAAGCCTTGGCTCTTGCCAATCTGCGCCTAATACTTTCCGGAATTAGGTAAGCAGGTTGCGTCCCTCCAGGGAGAGAGAGTGCGTATTCCATCCCAACAGTCTATCCATGTGTAGTGGGATGCATGGAATTCTCAATTGGCTTTGCATACCCTTAAAGCATGGTTTCCGCATGTGGCTGAACAAAAAAAACTTTGTTTTGACCGATTACTTTTTTTTTGTCCTTCAGCCTTTCTCTCTCTCTCTCTCTCTCTCTCTCTGAAAGTGACCTTGGTAACCAGACAAAGTTGGTTGGGTTGGCGTATACTGAGTACCGTGATTCAGATAGCAGAGGATGATAGTGACTCACAGTGGTACTTGTAGGTGTAAAATATTTGAACAAAAGCATTTTTGGGGCAATAGTGGTGGGCTAGAATGCTTGAGTAAATTGTTTCAACAGGTCTTGGCTTTAGTATCCAAAGATTGGGTAATATCTGAAAAGACTGATCTTGTACAGACTTGGGCAATGGAATTTGTATCTTGGTATACTGAAGGCAGAATATCACAACTTTCCTATTTAAATGTGATTTTCAGTGAACATAAGAATATCACAAACAAAATACACAGTCACTGTACTTTACAGTATATTCTGTAATATGTATCAAATGCAAGGATTATTTTTATAATTACATTTGATATAGCGCCTTATCATGTCGTCGAGCCGTCTCAAAGCACGTCATAGAATATATTGCATAGTGGATTAACAGGCTTCCCAGGGAGACAGTGTAAGCAGAAAATGGTATTTGTTTCAGGAATAAATTAGCTAGATTTCTACTAGAAAATAATATCTCGGGATACAGTGTATAGCTTGGGATACGACATGTCAAGCGACTGCCAGGATGGCGAACTAGATGGACTTTGGTCTTCTTTCGCCAGCAAATTATTATGTTCTTATGTTCTTTATTTTGTGGGCGAAACGCAGCAGCCATTTGAATATTAAATATTGGAAAATAGCAACAGGTTATGGGATCTTGATAGATCATTTAATTCAAATGCTCCACCCTTTTGCCGTAACCCTGAAATGTATACCTCTGCTACTCAAGTATCTATCCAGACATCTTTTAAATATTCCTGAGGAGTTGAAACTTTTCACAGTCTTCCTTGGGAGACAGTGTAAGCAGAAAATGTCATTTGTTTCAGGAACAAATTAGATAGGTTTCTGCTAGAAAATAATATCTTGGGATACAGTGTATAGCTTGGGATACGACATGTCAAGCGACTGCCAGGATGGCGGAAGGTGAACTAGATGGACCTTGGTCTTCTTTCGCCAGCAAGAAAAGAAAACACCTTCCAAGAGTGATCAACCAGTTTTCTTAAGCTAATTGAATACAGTGCAGCCTAGTTATAATGCATATTCTTTATTGAATTAATTTGGTTACATCGTGGCTGCAGAATGGACCACGTTTACTGGGCATATAGCTGACCAGTTTGCTTCCTGAGCACCAGTTGGCTCTCGTGCTAAATAGATGCTCCCAGGTCATCAGCTTGCTGTCAACGTCATTTCCTGCGTTGCTCAGTGTGGGAAATGACGGTCGGGCCTGCTGACGCACAAAGCAACCATTGTAACTGACCCGGCTGCTGTTTATGCCCAATGAAGCCGGCTATCGGGCCTTGTAATGGATCATGACCACCACCACCTTGTAACAGGATCTGTTGTATAATTTCCTCCTGTTTTTCTGCCTTGTAAATATCTGATTTTTATTTTACTACATGCTTAGGTGAAGGTCGTATGGCCTTAGTTAAGAACATCAATAAGGTTGCAAAGTATACAAGGGATCATTAAATTATTTCTGTGATTCTATGCTGGTTTATTAATCTAAGCGTGATCTTTCCAATACTTGTTTCTGCTGTATGTGACACATCAGTTATTTATTCCATTCGTCTTTATAAGATGCTTGTGCTGACAATGTCACTCTATGAATCATGTTTACTTTGAGTTGCTCACTGCATGATTAATAGAATAAGATTCTGTCCCGATGGGTCCAGAAACTGGATTGCTTAATTACTAAAAGGAACATTGCAGTCCTTTTCCTAAGGGAGAAGAATGCATGCATGTTAAAGTCCTAATTAAAAATTAGGAAATAATTATTGTACTGTGTTTTTTTTATAGTTCATAGCTCATTGAGTTTCAATGAATGTATGCCAGCTGCACGTTTGGTCTGGTGATATTAAGAGGTACCATCTTTGTGACAAAGATTCTGGCAAACTGTTCCATTCGCAAATCTATAATGTGAAGAGGTAAATTGGATTGAACCTCATCACTTGCACATGATGTCACGTGTGCCCAGCCAACAGAATTGAATGTTTTGAGAAGTCCCACTGATGTGAAAGGGCCTTTAGAATTGTAAATTGTGTTGTATTTTACAGTCCAGTCTTGTTCTTTTGTCTCCCCAAACATAAGTGACATTTTTGCATTATGCCTGTAGTGTGCTGAAATTTGGATTAAACTATTCATTTAAGGCCTGCTTTGTACCTTCAGTACCTGTATTTTCACTCTTCCCCCAACTTTATATTCCTTTCATTTATGTTGCCTTCCTGCAGTTAATTTTTATTCCCCATCAATTGGTAGATCATGTAGACATGTGCACTGGCTGCTTTTTCATAATTTCTGTCAATGTTCACCAGTCGAGGCTGTAAGGTTACTGGATGGAAAAAGTTGTCCTGCTGATTTTTCTATTGATACTTTTGGCTGTTCAATAGATATAAATGATGCATATTTTTCGTACTCTTTCTGAGCATATATTATTTTCAGATATTAATATTAAACTAGTCTGAGAGCTTGTTGACTTCTGTTGAATGATACAAGTAGCTGTTCTGAGCATGGAGATTTTGTACATTTTTGCATTGAACTCCCAAGCTAACAGTTACAACAAATTGCATTTATATAGTGCCTTTCATGTCAGGTAGACGTCCCCAGGTGCTAGACAGTGAAGGATTTGCACTAATATTTGTCTCCTTTGTATCTATGTCGTACCAGGGTATAGTTTATTATCTCTCTGTGTTGTATTTTTGAACAGATTAACCAAATGGCAACAGCTCCTGACTCCCAGCGACTGAAACTTCTTCGCGAAGTTGCAGGCACCAGAGTGTATGATGAACGTAAAGAGGAGAGTATCAGTCTAATGAAGGAAACTGGTAAGAAAATCGCTTTGCACATATCATTTTGTGAAGTGCGCCTACGAACGCTCGGGGAGCGCTACTTGACGGGTGCTATATAAGCGCAAGTTTTGTCGCATTAATGCACTTTGCTGTCATCTTTGGGTCATGGGCTGGGCCAACAGAAAAAAGCAGCTGCACTTTTCCCAGCAGAATCCGCTAGAAACAAACCATCCGCTACAAACCCGCAATAAATCTAATATGTGTTATGTCCTCATGTTCAGTTTTTATCAATAAAGTGAAAAATGTAGATCGACAGTAAAATGTACTTCAATAGCATCAATCAACTCCCCGCACTTTTCTGCAAAATGTGGCAAAAACTTTCCCCGCAATTTCTGGCAAACAATGCCGCACTTTTCTATTGGCCCAGGTTATGGGTTTTATGGGCGATGGGATGCAAGGCCATTATGTTGTTCTCTAAGGATTTTATGTTAACTGTGAGTTTCGAGACTTTGGTGAGTGAGTGCCCCGTTTTCTCCGCTGGGTGACACTTAACAATCACACAACCATTCCTCTTGTGCGCCCCCAAATAAAATGAAAAATTCTGTTTCTTAGTACTCATTGTCCTCTCCTTGTTGAATACAAATATAAAACCACAAAGGTGAGTCCTCAAATTGGAATACGTAGACTTTGTTAACTTCATATTTTGGTTGCTCGCAGAGGGGAAGAGGGAGAAGATCAACGAGCTGTTAAAGTACATTGAGGAGCGTCTGCACACACTGGAAGATGAGAAGGAGGAGCTGGCACAGTATCAGAAATGGGATAAAATGAGACGAGCATTGGAATACACTATTTATAATCAGGAGCTGAATGAGACTCGTGCTAAACTTGATGAAGTAAGATGAGGGCTATTGCCATTTCTAAATTACTGTGAAGTCGTGCCCTGGGAATTTCTGAGCACTTCTGAACACTGTGGAGTGTTTCTTATACTATTGCCTTTATTATTTTATTATTACTATTATTGCTTATTACCTTTTGGAACGCCATCCCACAATCGCTTCGCCTCATCCCTCCCTTGCCTCCTTCAAGGCACGTCTCAAAACCCTCGACTTCAACCGAGCCTTCGGTCACCCTCCTACCGCTACCCTCCCTGACATCCGCCCTTCCTGATTCCAGCCCCCTCCTCAGATCCAAATCCCTGATTGTCCAGCACCTTGGGATGTTCTCCCGACTATGTACAAATGTAATTTGTTATTGTTATCAAATTATTTTGCCAAGCAAAATAAGCTTTGAGAGCTATCTGCTTTTGTTTTTTAATTGTTTTTTGCTGGGGACATGTCAGTTTCTCGGACCATATTGGATAGAGCTAGCAATTGAGTACGGTCGACTTTTAGCTTCTTAATCATTTTTCCGCTACTGTCGAAATCTGAGGAGTTATATAATATCCGGCCTTCAAACATTGAATTTCTTCATCATAACAATAAGTATTGATTGATAATATACGAACCCATTATTGGGTCCCACTAATAAATGTTTCATCTGAAATTCTTGTTGACTTCTGTTTGATTGAAATGTGATTTATGTTGCCAGCTTTCGGCAAAACGTGAGACCAGTGGAGAGAAGTCAAGACAACTCCGTGATGCACAGCAAGAAGCTAGGGATAACATGGAGGTAATTTTTTTCTCATTATAACTGAATGTGGGTTTAGCATTTGAAATGAGTGCGCACTGATTTATTAGGTAGCAATCGTGTTTGGTTGAAATGGTTCCTCTATTCAGATAAAAATTTATTGCTGCGCGCTATATGAAATGCGAAAGTTCAGGGACAGCAAAAAAAGCTGGAACATGCTTTTGATTTTGAAGCGTGCAGCAAAATTGTCCTAACGTTTCTTTCAAAATCAATTTCTGCTTTCCATTAATTCTGGAGGTCCTGTCCAAATTGTAATTTGCTCTTGTTTACTTTTAGAATGATATCTTTTTGTGCGGGTATGACTAGAATCAGACAGGTTTTCAGACAGCAATAGTGATTCTAGTTAGAGTGAAAAGGTTGGCTGACAGTTTAAAAGAGTATATTTAACGCATAGTTTTATCTTTAGTTTTCTTCATGGAATGTTACACAGAAACAGGAGTAGGCCATTAAGCCCCTTGAGCCTGTTCCGCCATTCTACAAGAACATGGCTGATATATACCTCAACTCCCAACTCTCCGCCCTTGCCCCATATCCCTTGATACTCTGATCTAACAAATGTATATCCACATTGAAAATATGAATGGATCCAGTATCCCCAGCCTTTTGGGGGAGAGAGAGTTGCAGATTTCCACTACACTTTAGGTAAAAAACTAATTATTATTATTATTATTATTACTTCCTGATTTCACTCACAGTGCAGAAACAGTCCATTTGACTCATCAAACTTTCCACTAATGTTTTTGATTTGATCCCCTCACCTGCTTGCTTCCCAAACAATTTAGTATTTTCAAGCCCCTTTTCAAATGGTTCTGATGATTCTTTTTCATTTTGTTACTTTGCCCAGCTAAATAATAATAATCCTCGCATTTGATACAGCGCCTTATCATGTCTTCGAGACATCTCAAAACGCTTCACAGAATATGCTGTAACTTGAATATATTTTGTAGGTGAACGAACGAATGAACTGATGTTGGTGTGTCCTGACGTGAAACGTGTTGTGTTACGGAGCATGTATGTGATTTTTCACCTCACTATTTTGAAACTGAAACTTTTTTTTAATTAAAAAGGACATTGAGAGGCAGGTGCGTGAGCTGAAAGCAAAAATCTCAGCAATGAAAGAAGAGAAGGAACAGTTAAGTTCTGAGCGACAGGAGCAGATTAAACAGAGGACCAAGCTGGAACTAAAAGCAAAGGATCTGCAAGATGAAATGGTTGGGAACAGTGAGCAAAGGGTAAGGAAGTGGAGACTACAGTAAAAATAATGAGGTCAATGGGACAGCCAGACAGTTGTTAGAATATACTCGTTGCCTTTGTTTTGCTTCCTTTGTGTTTATCTTGTGTATAGATACATAGAAACAGGAGTAGGCCATTCAGCCCCTCGAGCCTGTTCTGCCATTCTATAAGATCATGGCTGATCTGTACCTCAACTCCAATTACCCTCCCCTGCCCCATATTCCTTGATACCCTTATCTAACAAATATCTATCCACCTCATTCTGGACAGTGGAAGAATCCAGCATCCACAGCCTTTTGGGGGTGTGAGTTCCAGATTTCCACGACCCTTTGGGTGAAAAAAGAACAAAATTAATTTTCCTTCTCTTATCAAAGTGTTCTTCATATGAAAATACTCTTAAGTGTTTTGGTGTCAAATATGACTATTGAACCATTACAAATGCAGCAATTACAGATTATATACCAGTGATACTGGCGATATCAAAAACATGAGCAACAAATGCTTCTTTAAAGTCAGCTGAAGGATGACTATATGCATAATTGTCATTGAACTTAGTTTGCTTTTGGAGCTTGTATTTGCATTTAGCATTTATGTAATGCCTTCACACAGTGTCACGTCTCGCCCAACAGTGATGGAGTTTGGCACCGAGCTGAGGGGGAGGTCGAACCTAGCTGGACTGCAGTACAGGGATATCCCATGGAACTAACACCACTCTTACATTCTTTCTATCCATTTCTATGTTAACAAAAACTGGTTCAACATTTCGACAGCACCACTTATCTTTCTCTGTCTCTCTCTCTGTAGAAACGTCTCTTGAAGGAAAGGCTAAAGCTGTTGGAGAAGATCGAAGAAAAGCAAAAGGAACTCGCAGAAACCGAACCAAAATTCAGTGCAGTTAAAGAAAAAGAAGAAAATGGAATAGCAAGGTGATTAGGAATCAAGGGCATTGCAGATGATTTTGATTCTGTGGTTGCACAAAATTCAAACTTGTTCACTTTCCAGGGACCCTGAAGCCAATTGTACCCTATTGCCTCCCAAATGAAATTAGTTATCGCAACATAAACCAGGGATTTCATTATGCAGGGCACTCTGATTTACAGTCGGTTCTTACTCCCTACTCCCTAAGGGTATACTTTAGATTGAAATCACAATGAATGCTTTTATGAACCAGTCATTATAACAGGTAGAAAATAGGCTATTTTGAAATAACTAAAAATATATGCAGATTATTGTTATTATTTAACTTCCATTTTTTAAAAGGAAAAGAAACATTTCTAACTCATTGAAATGATTTAGTTTTCTTAATATTTCTTAATACTTCCTGTAGTGGTTAGAGCACTCGTCTCACAAGCGAAAGGACCTGGGTTCGATTCCCGGCAGGACAAAACATTGGGCAAGTTTCCTTATTCTACACGCCTCTGTTTATCTAGCAGTAAGTAGGAACCAGGTTGTTAGTCAGTTGACGGATCGCTTTTCCGGGGGTAATAATCCCTCCAAAAAAAAAAAAATAATTTGGACACTCATTCTACGACTGTTTATGGGACGCTGCTGTGCGCAATTGGCTGCTGCGTTTCGCCCACAAAATATAGTGAATTCACTTTACAGTATATTCTGTGAAGCGCTTTTGAGAGGTCTCGAAGATGTGATAAGACTCTATATCAGATGCAAGGATTATTATTGTATCAGATCTGTGCAGTGTATTGTATTGAGTTGGCCAGGCTCCACTGGCTCCCCATCACCGAACGGATCAACTTCAAGATCCTCACACTCGGGTTCAAATCCCTACACTCCCTGGCACCTCCATACCTCTCCGACCTGCTCACTCTACAAACCACACGGCACCTCCGCTCAACTGGCACCAGCCTTCTGCTTGTCCCTCGCACCCTCCGCTCCACCATTGGAGGTTGGGCTTTCAGCCACTAATCCTCGAAACTTTGGGACACTCTCCCTCAATCCCTCTGCCTTAAGCCCTCTCTCCCTTTTTTCAAGTCCAGCCTTTGTCCCGGCTCGAAGTCACTGTTAAGTGCTCTGAGACGCTGTCCTGCACGGAGTGTGCTATATAAGTGCAAGTTGTTGTTGTGCGTTCTGTTGTGATATGTTTAAAATAATGGTGGTAGTTTCTTGGTTAACATTCACATTTTGTTTTGGGCTCAGGTTGGCACAGGCCACCCAGGAAAGGACAGACTTGTACGCAAAGCAGGGTCGAGGCAGTCAGTTTACATCCAAAGAGGAGAGAGACAAATGGATCAAGAAAGAGTTAAAATCTCTGGATCAAGCAATCAATGATAAAAAGCGACAGATTGCCGCTATTACCAAGGATCTGGAGGATACAGAGGCGAATAAAGAGAGAAATCTGGAGCAGTACAGTGTAAGTATTCATTAGTAAGAAAGAAGGCTTTTCTTTAAGACTGCTCATCACATGCTGAGGATCTTTTCCTCCATTACTTAAACAAAACCTTTGTCTCAAAAATTGCAGCGTTCATTCTAAATTTAAGAAAAGTCCCAAAACTGAATTTGTCTCTAGGAAGCAATTCAAGAGACAGAACAGAAAGCAGAAAAGCTGCAACAACTTGCAGTAAAGGCCTGAATCAATACGGACATTGAGATAGATGCAAAGAAGCATCAGTATTGGAGGAAGAAATGCATCCGTTTTGCAAAGATATTTTTGTTTTTGGCTTGTCAGAGATGAAAGATACTTTGCCACTGCTAGGTGGTGGATGCATTCTTCTCACTAATTTAATTGAAGTCAAAATTGTAACTGATTAGCTACTGTTAGCATCTCATATAGCTACACATGGAGTTTGTTAGGAACATAGGATAGGAGTCGGCCATTCAGCCCCTCAAGCCTATTCTGCCAGGCTATAAGATCATGGCTGATCTATATCTCAACTCCCAATTAGCCGCCCTTGCTATCCAACTCAGTCTTGAAAATTTGAATGGATCCAGCATTTTTGGGGTAGAGAGTTCCAGATTTATTTTTTTAGAGTTGTATTTCTCACAGGGGAGATGGGAGAGAGAAATCCAGTTGTTACAAATTCATGCAATTGGTATTTCCTTTGCTTTCCTCCTGCTGCAGCCTCTGCACAAGTATTGAGTTTTATCACTCCTACCCGATAGCTCATCGTTTCCCCACACCCACTCGTCATTTCAAGCTGCTTACTCCTGCATATTCTTAACTCTCAGAACATCAGACTGCATGATTCAATCTGTGGCGGTCTTGAATCAAGTAGTGAGACTCTCTATGTCTCACGCACTGTTATATGAGAGAATGTGCACAGCATTTATTGTCCAGCACAAAAAATTCCAACATAATAGCTGACGAACAAAAGCACCTTCTTCACTGGCTCCCATATAATATGTTTGTGTGTGGGGCGGGAGGAGGGCGGTGGGGGGGGCGGGAGTCATTCAATGTTCAACCTTGCTGGAGCCATTTGAAAAACTTGTGGAAAAAAAAGTGCATAGGAGTCACCTTCCTATGGACATGTTGTGCCGTTAGAGAGAAATAACATGCATTTATTCAATAAATTTAGAGACAGGCAAAAAATCCCACCACGGGAAGGTGGGGGAGGGGTAATGGTTAAGCAAGTTTCACCACATTGTCGATTTGGTTCTGAGTCAATGGAAAGCTATTTAGTAATTTCCCCATGATTAACTCAAGCTTTCCCCTCAATCATCAGAAACTCGATCAGGATCTGGCCGAAGTGAAAACCAGGGTGGAGGAACTCGACAAGAAATACTACGAAGTGAAAAACAGAAAGGATGAATTGCAGAGTGAAAGGAAGTAAGTTGGTGGGCTAGCAGGTGCAAGATTAGGAATGATGTTAAATTACTTAAGAAGGTTTAGGTGACTACAGCGTTGCATTTCCCTTTCAAACAAATCGAAAGGTATAGAAAAATATATTTAATTTTTTTTTAATCATTTTAAATTTATTTATATTTCAAAATGTCCTTCAGTGCTTTATAGCAATTTAAAATGGTTTGGTGCTTTGGCTAAATGCTCCTTCTTCCTGCTTCATTTTAGTTACCTGTGGCGAGAGGAGAATGCTGAACAGCAAGCACTGGCAGCAAAACGGGAAGAGCTGGAAAAGAAACAGCAGCTCCTTCGAGGTGCAACAGGAAAGGTAGGTCCTACTCTTACCAATCTGCAGTTAAGGTAATTATGCAGTGGTGGTATGTGATCTGATCTGCCCTCACATTAGGAAGCGGACATACTGGTTCGCATAGCTAACTTGAGAACTTGGTCACTAGGCTCAGGCTGGGCTTATAATAATAATACTTGCATTTGATATAGTGCCTTATCACTTTTTTGAGATATCTCAAAGCGCTTCACAGAATATACTGTAAAGTGTAGTGACTACATGTTTTGTGGGAGAAACGTGGCAGCCAGTTGTGCACAGCAGCGTCCCACAAATAGATTGACTAAATTATTATTTTTGCAGGGGAGAGGGTTCCAGATTTTCGTACCCTACCGCAGAGGCGATCCGGTCACCTGATTTGCTCGGATGGTCTTGGTTCAGATCCACATTGTGCTTTGATAATTTAGGACCTAGAAGAGTTTGGGGAGGGATTAGGGCTTTTCTGAGTTCCCTAAATGGAAATGGTCTAAGTCAGTTAATGGGGGTGAGAGCAGGCCTAACCTCGCTCACCAATAAAATGACGCATTGGTGCAGTTTCAAACCAGGGCTCTTAATCATTATTGATTGGCAATGATCTCTGCTCCAGATAAAGTAAATGTTGTTAAAAGGGGGTTGTTGTATGTTGAAGAAGCATTTCAGATGATGTTTGACCTGCTGTGGCTCCTGTTTTTTTTAATTGTGGAACCAGTTAAGACCAGAAAAGACCATTCTGCCTGGGCCCCAATCACTAAAATCTCATTCCTCGCTATTCTTTCATAATCTTCAAATCCGTTTCCATCATAATGAACCGTAAAAGATAATTCTGGTCTGAAAATATCAGATGTCCAGCACGTGAGTCTTTATCTTTGAATGTCTCAAAGCTCCAGAGACAATAAGGAGCAACAAGCACAGAGGGAAAAAAAGAATTGATGGCAAAAGGATTTGGGGAGAAAGCTCCAAAGAGCAGGGGAAATGATGGTTACCAGTGGTGGGTCAACAGTAATAATCCTCGCATTTGGTGTAGCACCTTTCACGCCAGGAGGCCGTCCCAAAGTGCTTTTCAGGATTTCTTGTAAAGTAGAGTGAGTGTATTTGTAGGTGAATGTGGCAGCCCATTTGCACAGAGCATTGTCCCACAAATGGCCATGAAACAAATGATGATTATGGCCAGGACACGGGGAGAAACTCCCAAGAAAGAAAGGAAGGCACATTAGACCAGAGCAAAAAAAATACTGCAGATGCTGGGTTGCATATTGATTTAGATGACCTATTTTTGCATTGTGTGTTATAAGAAGGTATTCCGATCATATAATCTTATGCAATAAATGATTTTCTGGGAGCGAAAAAAGACTTGCAAGCGAGAGAGCCCGAGTTCGATTCCTTGGCGGGATAAAACCTTAGGCGAAGTTTCTTTACTCCACACGCCTCTGTTTACGTAGCATTAGGTAAATTGTTGTGCGCAATTGGCTGCCGCGTTTCGCCCACAAAACATACAGTCAATTCACTTTGCAGTGTATCCTGTGTAGTACTTTGAGACATCTCAAAGACGTGGTAAGGTGCAATATCAAAATGCAAATGTAAGGATTATTAAGTAGAAACCTGGTTGTTAGTCGATTGGCAGATCATTTTTATAAAAAAAGTAGTCATTCAATCCACGACTATTTGTGGGACGCTGCTGTGCACGATTGGCTGCTGCGTTTCACCCGCAAAATATACAGTCAGTTCACTTTACAGTATATTCTGTGAAGCGCTTTGAGAGGTCTCGAAGATGTGATAATACTCTATATCAGATGCAAGGAATATTATTATTTATAAAGCAACTTGTCATTTAAGCAGCAGTATATTGCTGAATAATTGCCACCTTCCCTGGCTTCTCCATGCCCCCTTTTCAGGTCGCAATTGTTTTATTTGTCTCAAAAAAAATTGTGCAATGTTCTGGAATGACTATGTTGGAACTGTACTGTGCTGTTATACTTGGTCAACTTTATTTTACTGTAACTGATAGCAATTGCCTGTGTTTCTTGTAGGCGATTTTGAATGGGATTGACAGCATCAACAAAGTGTTGGAGCATTTCAACCGAAAGGGAATCAACCAACATGTTATGAATGGTTACCACGGCATAGTGATGAATAACTTTGAATGTGACCCTGCCTTCTATACTTGTGTGGAAGTCACAGCTGGAAACAGGTGTGTTATTTCAATTTGAAGGATGCAGTTGAAGTTTTTATATTTTCATTGACCAACTTGGAGTTGAACTGGCTCCAAGATGACATGCTTGGCAACAGAATGTCGGAATTGAATTCACCCTCTGTGGCTATCTCGGTATTCTTTACCCCCACCCCCTCGAACCCCATCTCACATTCCTTCGCCTCGCTCCCTCGCTTGCCTCCTTCAAGGCACAGCTCTTCGACCATGCCTTCGGCCACCCTCTCTGCCCTCCACCCTCCCTGATCCCAACCCCCCCGATCGGGTCCTAATCCCTGACTGTTCAGTACTTTGGGATGTCCTCCCGATGTGAAAGGCATTTGAAATGTAATTTTGTATTGTATCCTGTGCTCTATGGTTTCTCAGATCTTCAGGGCACTGCTGCACTGCCTGGCTCATCTGTAGGACTTGGAAGGGGCAGACTGGTCACTGGGAGCAGGGATTCTTCCCATTCTGCCCCTGTTAAACCCTGCAAACCAAGATCCTAGCGGGGTGGGTGTTCCTTGCATGCTTGAAACTCAGTCTGGTTTGGATACTTTAAGCACAGTGATTGGTTTCAGCATGTGTCAATCACACAGCTGACCGCCCCAAAAATTTCAATTTGTAGAATGACTTGTTGGTCAAAGAGGATTGCCAGAATGGTAACATGGGAGGTTTGCGATGCTGCTTATAAATGGGGTGTTGAGGGTGGGGTTATTATTTAGGACACCCCTGAGTCTTGGCATTGCGAAACAGCTGTCTGTTTGTCGCTAATGCAACTTGCTGCATCTGCTGTACCAATTGTTTATTTGGTTGTATAGTTGTTGCTTTTTAAAATCCACTGGTGATTTTACTGTGACCATCTGCTGAAGATTGAAGAGGTTTTACATGAAGGTTTTTGTCAGAAGGTAGTACTGTGTTCTGTAACCGAGTCAATGGTAGAGAAACAGTATTTAGCTGGAGTGATGCCAAGAATGATGCCGATTTATACATAGGCCTTAATGCTGATGACTTTTTGTATTTTAGGCTGTTTTATCACATCGTAGACTCCGATGAAGTCAGCACAAAGATTCTGATGGAATTTAATAAGCAGAACTTTCCTGGAGAAGTCACTTTCCTCCCGCTCAATAAACTGGATGTACGGGATACAGCTTATCCTGAAACCAATGTACGTAAATGTTTCACTTTTCTCTTGTCCTTTCCTAACCTATAGAGAACCAATGAGCAAATGTTTAATATATACTTTGGAGAATTAAACTGGAAGAAAGATATCTTTGTGAAATATTCCTAATCAAAAGAACGGTGGGTGGATGTACACTCCATTAACAATTGTATAACAACAATGCCCCTTGAATTATAAGAATATAAGAATTTACTCGGTGAAAAAAGATCAAGGTACATCTAGTTCATCTTCCACCATCCTGGCATTCTCTCAAATTTGTTCTTGAAGCAAACAACACTGCTTCCACAGTCTCCCCAGGGAGCCTGTTCCATAAGCTTGCTACTCGCTCACTGAAGTAGTGTTTGTTCTGAATTTACCCCCCTTTTTTCGCAAGCCGTGTATAAATATTTGTATTTCTGTGGTTATCTTTGCTCCAAAGTGATGCCAAGGACCTAATGCTGTGCACGGTTTCTGTAATCTCCAAATTTGATCTAATAGTTTTTCAGGAGTCTTACAGTAATTACTGAAGCAGAGCTTTAAGGTGTTTATTTTCGCTTTGCAGGATGCTATTCCCATGATAAGCAAATTACGGTACGTGCAGAGATTCGATAAAGCCTTCAAACATGTGTTCGGGAAAACGTTGATTTGTCGTAGTATGGAGGTGTCCACCCAGCTGGCAAGAGCGTTTAATATGGATTGTATCACCCTGGAAGGTACGTGCATATGATTGATACTCGTAACGAGAGGAATCCAGCACCACTTATTTTACAGTGGAATCCTGTAGCTCAGTGGTTAGAGCACTCGCCTCGCAAGCGAGAGGACTCCAGTTGGCGAAACTTTGGGCAAGTTTCCTTACTACGCACCTCAAATCTAAATGTAAACTAGGCGTTAAATGTAAACAGAGATAGGTCATGCTGAATATATTGCCTGCATCTGCTGTACTTTGATTGAAATTAGCCTTGGAAGGTATTGTATTTTGGGCTCTGTTTTCGTAGTGGATCTACAAACCATTTCCAGATATGACAAGGATTACTCATGCCTCATTTGCTCTGGGGTGATTCATGCTCTTGATTGATTTTTTTTTTCCTTGCTCCCTCTGGAGCAGCATCTCACCAGTGACTGATTCGCCGTAATATTGTGTACTAACACAATGTTTCCTACACCTGCTGTATCACAGTAGCATTCTGATCATAAACTGTCCATGTTATTTGCTTAGTTTTTAAGTTATAGTTAGTAGTTCTACGACAGTTGTTGTTGAATTCATTCGTTATGCGTAATTGTATGAGTCATTTCATTCTATTATTGCTGGTTTTATCAGGAGTAAATTATGCATAGTGTTACAAAAGCAAAATTCCATTCTAACCCCATTAACTTTTGAACAGGTTTGGAATGGAATTTTTCTGTGCAGCAATATGCATAATTTACTGTGATGAATGTCCTTTTGGACTCGAGTCCTGAGGCCAGAACTGGAAAATTCCACTAGCCAGGAATGATTTACTGTTCGGGCTTGGTTTGGGCAATTGGTTGAATCACCAGGCTGATGGATAATGACGTTGCAGTCCACTAACCACGTATAGTGGATGGACTCTTACTTTTGACATTACCAGCCTATTAACTTTGAATTAACTCTCAATTCTTGAGAGTTAATTTGTGAATGCTAACTCAGAGTTTGTTTCTATCTCAGAGTAAGGTTAAAGTTGGTGGAGCTTTTATTGGTTTAGATTGGACTGGTGATTGTCCAGTCCATCTGGATGTTAATTGATGTATTATGTCTCATTTCCATTGCTCTTTAAACTGGAGGTATATATGATGTACATATGTGATCTGCTGAGGTTTAAATGGACTGTTGCACAGATATATCAAGTTACGGTTTAAGAGCCTAATGCTGTATAAGAGAGATAAACCAACATTCAATTAAGCAAATTGGCTAAGGAATAAGCAGATGGATTTTATTGTAGATAAATTTTGAGATAATGAATATTGGAGCAGAAGCAGCAAAGCTGCCATTGTGCTGGTGTCCATCAGCAAAGTTGGATAAGGAAAAGGTTTGAGTGTTATTCTGGATCATTCACTGTAAATTTCTAGTCAATGAAAAGCTATTATCAACAAAGCAGAAGAGTGGTTATGTAGAACAGATTCCCAGCAAAGCAATTGATGTTGTATGTTATAATATCTTTAAACAAAAATGGATGCCAATAATAATAATAATCTTTGCATTTGATATAGAGTCTTATCACGTCTTTGATGCTTCTCAAAGCGCTTCATAGCATATTAATTGACTGCATGTTTTGTGGGTGAAACGTGGCAGGCAATTGCACACAGCAGTGTTTCATGAGCAGTTGTGGATTGAGTGACCAAATCGTTATTTTAAAAAAAATATCTGGTTGGATTAACATTTCTAAATTGTAAAATTTAGAAGAATTAGCTTGAGTTGTCACTCTACATTATTGTGTAATCAACTGTGCAAGTAAGTGCACTTAGATGAGTTATGTGCTCCCCCACACCTCCTCTGTGACCAAATAGGCTATCTTGGGACACATGTGCATGAAGCAACTGCGAAACTGTGCCACCCATGTAACTGTTCCTCCACATGAGTCTGTGCCTTTGGAGGAATAGAAATCTTGTTATATTTTTCATATTCATGCAACTACTGACTGAAATGGCAGTCTGTACTTTGGGAAGTACTTTGGGAATAATGTGGCCTACTCTGGAGACCTCAGTCTTTTTCAGTGACTCCTGACTGTTAGTCCTGTTTTTATTAGCTGATTTCATTTATTGGGAGTCTGATAAGGCACAAGTCAATTCTGAGTCACACGGATGCGTAATGCGTGGCTGGGGTGGATCAGATGTTGTAAGAGTTATATTGGATGACACAAGCATTGATCAGTGCAGTTTCAATTATTATAGCACATAAACACCGAGGGCTGGATTTTTACGGGAATACCTGGATATGTAAATCTCCCGGGGATCAAAGCAAATATGAAATGTTTGTCGCACGCTCAAAGTAAGAGTTTGACTGATCAGTGGGAGGGTAAGAGCAGGGTGACTCATTCACATTATAGCTGATGTTTTTCTGGTGTGCATTGTCTGTTGGGCTGAATTCATTTTCCTACAGTTAAAATTGGTGCTTTTTTCAGATGATGGTCCATTTAGTGACATCAGAGTGCATTCCTCATTTTGATTTTTATCTTGACACAATTACAGGAGTGAAGTAATACAAAATATTGCTTGCTTCCTTAAATCACTTGCAGTTGTCAATCCCATCCTGGGGTGTCCACACAACAGATGTTTTCACCCACAAAAGCACACAGTCACTACACTTTAAAGTGTGTCTTTTGAAGCACTTTGAGACATCGTGAAGACGTGGTAAGGCGCTTTATCAAATACAAGGATTATTATTATTACAAGATAGTGCTATATTTCTATTGCTGATCCAAAGGTAGAGAAATTCTGCCTTAGTCTAGATTTATAATAATAATCCTTGCATTTGATATAGTGCCTTATCATGTCGTTGAGACGTCTCAAAGTGTTCTGCAGAATATACTGTGAAGTGAATCGACTGTATTTTTGGGGTGAATTTACTTAACTTTTATAGGATTTCAGAGTGTCCAGAATTTGGCACATTCTTAAATACATCCTTAATTTTGAAGTAATTTTCTTTGTATGAACTATAAAATACTGAGTTCAAAGTTAAGGCTGAATTCAACACTCATTTTCTGAACATTCTGAAGTGCTACAAAAATCGGAGTAAGCCTATGACTTGCACTTTAGTTCAATAACTGTAGCTTGTGTCTTGAGTTACCCGATCAGTTGGATTACCATCCTATTGCACAGTTCTTTCTAATGTAACAGACGTAACCGACTATGGCGCACATTACTGGATTCTTGTTCGATCATTATTGAAGAAACCCATGTTTGAAATGTCTGTTCTGTTGTTGTGAGCGCTGTGCAGAATTTTTTTTTGCGTTTCTGAAACACAGTATTAGAATTGTGTGATCTAATACAATACCTAGAACCTGCACTGACGCAGCAGGCTTGTAAAATGTTTAGCCAACTAATCCTGATGTTCAGCATAAGCATGTAACCTGACGTTGAATTCATCTAGGTGATCAAGTAAGTCACCGAGGTGCGTTGACCGGTGGCTATTACGACACCCGGAAATCAAGACTGGAGCTTCAGAAAGATGCAAGAAAGGCAGAGGAAGAACTGACTGAACTGGAAGCAAAACTGAATGAAAATCTCCGTAGGAATATTGAAAATATCCTTCAGAAATCTTATAAATGCAGCCTAAATGGGTGGTAATTATTGTTTGTGGGTCTAGTCAGCAGCCACTCCTTTTTTCTTGTAATTTCTCTAAATTTATAATAATGCTTGTATTGGATATGGCCCCTATCATGTCATTGAGACATCTCAAAGCGCTGCACAAAATATACTGTAAATTGACTGTATTTTGGAGGTAAAATGTGAAATTGCACACAGCAGTGCCTAGAGTCGTGGATTCAGATTATTACTCCCAGAAAGCGATCCGCCAATCGACCAACAACTGGGTTCCTACTTACTAATTTCTGGGAATTTTGTCTGAATGTCCTCCTAGGTCAGGGGGCTATGTCTGTAATGGAGGAAAATACCTGCGATAAGAGGTGTGATTGATGGTTTGCATTCGATGCTGCCCGAGTTTGCTTTTCAGGGTAGAAATATTTGATGTTCTATGAAAATGTTGACAGTGGAAAGATTTCATGTTTTGTAGCTTTTTTTATTTTTTATTTCACAAAAGAATATCTTTGTAGCAATTTTCTTCACAAGTTTTCTTTTACCAGTTTTTGTTTGTTCAGCTCTATAATCATTGGCGGTGTTATTTTCAAAGTGGGGTAAAACCATTTACTTGAAAGAAATAACTGCTGCTTTATCCTATAGTGTTGATTACACCTTTTTGCCCTTGGAACTGGGTCTTTTCATCACCAATAGATTTACTGGAAGAGTAGGGGCAGACGTGAAGGAAAGATTAAACATTATTCAACTCGCCATCAGGGATCTCTTCCTGACAGTTTTCTTGGAAATATGATGTGCTAAAAAGGTAGTCTTTTAAACGATTTGCAAAACTGGACATACTAATAACAGTGAGTCAGTGCAATGAAGGGCATTGTGGGCTTTGCTTCTCTGCTGCTGAGTGCACAGCTATATGCAAAACTCTTCAGATCACAGTGATTCATCCAAAATTAATGCCTGTGACTTGAGACAAACACAATGCAGATGGATAATGGCACAACAGTATGCAAAGCACAATGCAATTTCTGAAAATAACAATAATTGGTGTTCTGGATGTTTGAGATTACAATGAACAGTGAATAGTTTTGGAAAAATATTTCTTTAGACCAAGCATGTAAATAAATGTAAGCGGATATTTTCACCCTGCATCAGGGTAGCATTTGAATACATAATACGAATGCTGTATTATTATTCATTGCAAGTCGCTTTATTCTGTATCTATTAGACAGCAGCTTGGGAGGGAAACTATTAAATGGATGAAATGTTCAATAGGAAAATTTTAAGTAACGATTAAAAGTATATATACATATACATATTTATCAAAGCAGGGATTGGCAGTGCTGGAAACCATTCACTCGTGGCATCTAATGTCAGCCTCAGGCATTCTCAGCTCAAGTACTGAGTAATGCTTCCTTCACTGTGCTGAACACTGTGGCTTAGCTTCAGTCATGACCTCAGAAGAGCACCTTCAACGTCTCTCGATGGCCCCTGCCACCCAATCCCGTACCAACCAGCCGTGTTCCCTCTCTGAAAAAGATTAACCATTTGCATTCAGCTACAGATAATTTTGTATTGTGCATACCAACCACGCACAGGGTTAATGCTACCCTAGAGGAAAACACTGAAACCTACTCCTTTGTTCCCTCCACCAGCAACCCCCCCACTGCTCCCAACAAAGTATCTCGATCTATATTGGAGATCATAATGTTTTATTACTCACAAAGGTAGATTAATTAGAAGTTAAATAATTTTGTTATTCATATTGATCCTCACATAACAGGTTTTCTTCAGATTCTGGGATTTAACCACTTGAAAAAATGATTTATAATTAAAGATTTAAAACTATTTATTAATCTTTTAGTTGTGGGTAGTGAAGTTCACATATGCATTGAAGATACCTTTTCAAAAGAACAATTTTGCTTGCTGTTTTAAAATGTTAGTAACCGTGTTATGTTCTGCTGGCTATAGTCTTTCCTTAACGCTTCATACAAATCAATAATGAGATTGACCAATTGATGAACCAAATGCAGCAGATCGAAACCCAGCAGAGGAAGTTCAAGGCTTCGCGAGACAGCATTCTGTCAGAAATGAAGATGCTTAAAGAGAAGCGACAGCAGTCTGAGAAAACCTTCATGCCAAAGGTATCTATCAATCTAGAGGAGAGCTTTTTTGAAATGCTGGTCAGGCTTCACAAGTGGTGTAGGTTCTACTTCTGACCTGATATATTTTACCTGACAGCGCTGCAGGGGCGATGAGCCTTACTGTGATATTGGTAAGGGATCGCTTCATTTCCAAAGAAGTAAATAGTAATTGATTGTTGGAGCTCTCACAGTAAAATGCATCTTGAGTTCACTACACAAAATGCGCTGGCCTTGAGTTCCTGGTGATGGCTTGTAACAGTAACCAGCTGGTTTGGGGAGGTGATGGGGGTGGAAGTGTCAGAGAAGGAGAGTGGAAGCTAGCAGCAAAGTAGCTAAATATTGCATGGATTTTGCAGGATTAGTAAAGGAATTATAATTAGTATTAAGGGCTCACTTCTAAATGAATTATTTACAGGACGTTTATTTCATCCCTTCAGATTGAAAATATGCTAAACTGTATAAAAAATAAACTTTTAAACAAAACATTGAAAGGAAACCATTTGAGTGACTATTGTTAATTAAGTCCTCTTTTTCCAAAAATAAATAGGAAAGTAATTGTACTCAGTGGTTTTTGGATTCAATATGAACACGTAATTAATTTCAGATTTAAGAGGCACTATCAATAGATTTATCAATTTGGGGAAATTGCTGTGTAATTTCAGTAACTTCAGGTTGTGAGATAAGTGATAGGATTTCTTTACAGAACTATTTCTCATTTTAATGGAAAATGAATCTCCCAACTTTAAAAATGTACTGCTTGATGGTTCATGTGGATGCCCTTGAATGTGGGCTGACAAAAGCTTTAATTTGTTGAAATGAAATCTGGTCATAGAAAATCCACATCTGACGAAAGTACTCTATGTCTAAAGTAACACTCTCCTCAGTATTTCTTTCACCATTACAGTTGCACATCCAGAAAAATTCTTGCAGTTGCATATTTGCATCTGGTGCTCAGTGTAGCGTTGTGTTGATGTACAGACCATTGAGGAAGGAAGAAGGAATCTTCAATTAAACAGCACCTTCTCCCATTCAGATGTGCCTCCTTCTGTGCTGTAATATTCTATGATTCTAAATGTCTCAGAAGGTCAAATGTGTCACAGATGACTAATTGAAAGCTTTCATTTGATCAACAAAGCAACGAAGCTTGCAGAGTTTGGAGGCAAGCTTACACGCTATGGAGTCAACTCGAGAGTCGCTGAAAGCCGAGCTTGGTACCGACCTGCTCTCCCAGCTCAGCCTGGACGATCAGAAACGAGTTGACGCGCTCAATGATGAAATCCGACAGCTCCAGCAGGTAGGCCATTAGGAGATGCAGAAGGTTACTGCAGCTTCTTTTGTCATATCAAGCTACTTGCAACAACAACAAGATTACATTTGTATAGCGCCTTTCACGTCGGGAGGACGTCCTAAGGAGCTGGACAGAGTACAGCATTTCAGACCTGAGCTGGAGTTGGGGGGGGCAAGGGAGGGTTAGGGAAGGGGGGTGGCCGATGGCATGGTCGAAGAAAAGGGCCTTGAGGCGGGGGGGATGAGGCAGAGTGACTGGGGGATGGAATTCCAGAGGTTGGGGGCAGAGTGGCTGAAGGCTCTCCCGCCAATGGTGGGGCGGGTGGGTCGGGGGACGTGGAGCAGGCCAGAGCCGGCTGAGCAGAGGGAACACTGCAAGTAGCAGTGATGTGATTGTTTTGCTTTCAGAATTATCATTTCCAACTCGATAAACTTTTTGGTACGTTTGTACACCTTAGGATAACCGACAGCTATTAAACGAACGAATTAAGCTGGAAGGAATAATGACCAGATTGGAAACTTATCTCAGTGAAAATCTCCGAAAACGTTTGGATCAAGTTGAGCAGGTAATAAAAAAATGTGTCGGCTAATTTGCTATAGGACGTAACAGAAGGTTATAACAGAAGGTGTACATTGATGTGAACTGACGTTACAATGGAGGCTTGTTACAACTTGTTGGGAACCATAAAATCTCCTAACAATGAAACACGCTTAGCGTTTGTTTTCCCAGCGCATGCGCACAATTTTTACCAAAACTTGAACCATTTCTCTGGACTGTTAAAACATCAAGTTGATGTGAAATGGTTTGTGTAGATGAGTAAGTGTTTTGATGGAGTGAATCTGGTATTGTGCAAGTGGGTTGTAACCTATTACACTTATTTTCTGCACTGTTTACATACAGTAGAAATTGAAACCGGACTTAAAAGTCCTCTGTGAACTCTCATCGAAGTCTCTTCAGATTTGACTTCCTTTGTTTGTCGTTACATCTTATAATCATTTTTAGGTTACAAACGGCCTTTCCCAAGTTAAACAACTAGACAAACTTTTAACAGGATTTTTTTTAAGTGTTCTTTCTTTACCTAGGAATTAAATGACCTGAGGGAAACCGAAGGTAATACAGTCCTGAATGCCACCACCTCTGAACTTGAGAACATCAATAAACGTGTGAAGGACACCACTGCACGTTCAGAAGGTTGGAGTGCCAGAAGCTTTTGCGTTTTATAGAATATTTTTTAATTGCATTTTTAGTAGTCTAGCGATAGCAAGCTCTGACTGTTTTATCAAGTGAAGTAAGAACTCTCAATGTGCCACCTTCAAATGGCGTGAATGGTGCAGTGGATTGCTTTTATTCAGGGGACCAAGGTTGAAATTAAGTTCACGGAACAAGTCTTCTCTACTAGTTTTAAGGAGTCAACATAATCCACACTCTTGAGGTGATGCAGTTTCAGAATGTTGATCTGCTTGTCATTGCAAGAACTCCAGTTTATAAAACGCATAGATGCGTTTATGAAAATGTTGTCCAGTTGAGCCTTCAGTTTAAGAAATATTAGCCGCAGATGGAGTGCTTTTGTACATCATTGGTGAATTTCTGAAGTATTTTATATTTTCACGGAGGAGTTTGATGAGCACTTGCTGATATTTCTAGTGGCATAAATTGCATTACAATTCAGAGCACTTCTATTTTTCAGATCAGAGATTCTGCATTAGTTTAGAATTGTCCCTCCAGCTAATTGTATTTCAATTTTAAAATTGTACACATAACCATACACAAGTGTACATAAAGTCAATGGATATAGCTTTGTAGTCCCATCTTTAACCTCAAATGGATTCTCATTATGGACGGGTGGTTTGACACGATGGAGAAAACGGGAAGTGATCTAAAAATCATAAACTTAAAAGTCCTGCATTCTTGATCCAAAGCAGGTGATCCTGTTTTTGCTTTGTTCATGTGCGCAATCTGACTAACCTGACTGGCATCAGAATGAAGCAATTGCTGATTGAAATTGACTATTTAAAAAAAAGTGCAATTAAGGGAAGTGGTAAATGGTGTAATGTACATTAAGGGTCCTTAATGGGAGTTACTGGTTTGATTTCATTCAAGAGCTAATCGATGACTGATCATAGTTTTAAATATGAGTTTAGTTTTACTGGGAACAACATTCGATTTACCTGTACATTGCAGTAATTTGTATGGAGATGTTAGATTAGAAGGAAATGTGGGGCACACTGGAGGAATGTTTCCATTTGAGGTTTCCATTTTAAGTCTAACCCTTTCCTTAACAGCAAATGTTCTGCGCTAATATACCAGTTGTGCGTTGCAGAGATCGACACTTTGATAGACAAAACTGAGATAGAAATCAAAGACCGTCAAAAAAGCATGGACCGCTGGAAGAACATGGAGAAAGACCACATGGATGCCATTAACCACGACACCAAGGAGCTGGAGAAGATGACAAACCGGCAGGGAATGTTGCTTAAGAAAAAAGAGGAATGCATGAAGAAGATCAGGGAATTGGGCTCATTGCCACAGGAGGCTTTTGAGAAATACCAAACCCTGAGCCTCAAGCAGGTAAAGAAAACAGCTGTATTTTTTAATGAATCAAATCACAGCTGTCTCTCTTTATAGTTTGACCGGTTTCCAAGTTAATATAGCTGGAAAAAGATTGCAAAGTACAGGATATTGAAACTGAATCGGTGTCGAAAGATATCAGCACTTTGCACTGTGACATTACGCAGTATTTCATTGTTACAGGCAGACAAATGAATGATTGAGCATAAGAATTTTAAGAACATAAAAGCTGCTAGGCGAAACAACAAGGTCCCTCCAGTTCGACTTCCCAAACTATATATTGTATCCCAAGATATTATTTTGTAACAGAAATCTATCTAATTTGTCTTGAAACAAACGCCGTCTGTCTCCCTTGGGAATTTTGAATTGAACTTCACAATCAATACAGTACTGTAAAGTTGGGAAAGTTATTAAAGATGATTCTGAACTCCTGAATTTGTTACAGACTGATGCATAGGTTTAAATATAATGTACTCTATAAACGGGATTGACGTACCAGTGCTTTCATCACCAAACAGGCACAAGACCTGGTAGACCTTGCATTGCATTGGAAGCTTATTGGATGAGTTATCAGTCAAAGAAGATGGAGTGAGAAGTTTCATCTTAAAAATGATCTGCAACTCGCAATTTTACACGAAGGACCTGATAAACAATCATCGGATTGGTTAACTTGGGAAATTGAGGGTAAAAAGCAGCTCCCTTAAAGTCAGCCTGTGGATGGCAAGCTCCCTCTGCAGGCTGAATCAGTCAGTCCAGACAGTCCAGCTCCAATCCGGGAGCCCTGTCATTTCTTGTTAATTCCTTTAGACCAAGATTACCGGTGCGATCGATTTGAAGACTGAGACCCAGATTACCTCCCCTCTTTTCTTCCTCCCTCCCCCCTCCAGGAGGAATTAGTTTTAACATTTCTGGTTTAGTGTATTTTCACGGCCAAACGCACACTTATGTAAAATACAAACCCGCTGTGGCGTTATCCTATACGAGTTAATAATGTAGGTGCCTCATGGTTTTCCCTTGCAATCTCACAGCATTTTGCAACTGGTTCTTAAGTTTCACTTCAATTGTATTTTTATTATGGAGTTGACAGTAATGTAGCGTTGCAATCATTCGCCTTTTTCAGACCATAATCATTTTGACAGGGGTTTGTGGACTATACTTTGAAACGATTAAATTTACCTTGCCGTGGCATCTTGACTAAGTGGATTTGCTCTGTGTGTTGTTTTTTTTCCCCTTTGTAGCTCTTCCGGAAACTGGAACAGTGCAACCAGGAGCTAAAGAAGTACAGTCACGTCAATAAGAAGGCCTTGGACCAGTTTGTGAATTTTTCCGAGCAGAAGGAGAAACTTATGAAACGTCAGGAGGAACTTGAGCGTGGTCACAAATCCATCATGGAGCTTATGAACGTGTTGGAGCTGAGAAAGTACGAGGCCATCCAGCTCACCTTCAAGCAGGTAAAAATTGGCTGGGAAAGCGACTGCAGAGGGTTTAAGTGCACGTTATTGGCAGCAGTGGATGTGGTTGCCTTTGATTTGCCTTTCCCACATTTCCCTGCCCTCTCACACTTCTGTTGTTTATGCAACAGGAGTTGCATAAACAGGGCATTAATTATCCACACTGTAGCTTGGCACTGACTAGCCTTGATCTATCTGTAGCCTCATCCTCGGTCCTCGCTGAAGGAGTCCCAGAGAGTGGAGAGCAGAGAGGGTAGGAGGATGGCCGAAGGCATGGTTGAGGACGCGCGTCTTGAAGGAGGCAGTGAGGCGAAGGGAATGTGGGATGGAGTTCCAGAGGGTGGGGGCAGAGAGGCTGAAGGCCCGATTGCTGATGGTGGGGCGGGCCAGACGGGAGACGTGGAGCAGGCCGGAACCTGCTGAGCAGAGGGAGCGGACAGGTTGATAATCATAGAATATCACAGCACAGAAGGAGGCCATTCGGCCCATCGTACCTGTGCCGGCTCTTTGGAAGAGCGACCCGATCAGTCCCACTCCCTCGCTCTTTCCCCATAGCCTGGCAAATGTTTCCTCTTGAGTACCTCTCTAATTCCTTTTTTGAAAGTTTTTGAATCTGTTTCCACCACCCTTTCAGGCAGTGCATACCAAACTAACAATTTAATAATTTCCTTGCGAAATCATTTTAGAAAAAAATTAATCGGAACGCTCCTACAAAACTCTTCTCGCTGTGCTCAGGTGTCCAAGAATTTCAGTGAAGTGTTCCAAAAGCTGGTGCCCGGGGGTAAAGCCTCGTTGGTGATGAAGAAAGGTGACGTGGAGGGCAGCCAGTCGCAGGACGAGGGCGAGGGGAGTGCATCCCAGAGCAGCGTTCCTTCTGTGGACCAATTCACGGGAGTCGGAATCCGGGTGAGTAAAGAACTCTTTGTTTCTATATTATTCACACTGAACATTTATACAATTCAAATTTACATTTATATAAGCACCAGTCACGTTGGGAGGATGTCCCAAAGTGCTTGTTTATGTAAACGTTTTCAAATATGAATAGAGTCCTGTAGCTCAGTGGTTAGAGCACTCGCAAGTGAGAGGACCTGGGTTCGATTCCCGGGCAGGCAGGGCAAAACGTTGGGCAAGTTTCCTTGCTCAACAAGCCTCTGTTTACCGAACAGTAAATAGGAACCCAGTTGTTAGTCGATTGGCGGATCGCTTTTCTGGGGGATAATAATCCCTTCAAAAATAATAATAATAATTTTGTCACTCAATCGACGACTGTTTGTGGGACACTGCTGTGTGCAATTGGCTTCAGATTTCGCCCACAAAATATACAGTCAATTCACTTTACGGTGTATTCTCTGAAGCGCTTTGAGACGTCTCGAAAACGGGTTAAGGCGCTCTATCAAAAGCAAGGATTATTATTATAGATTTCAGCAGATAAAAAAAATGCTTTTTGGCGTTCGTAATCTTTGTAATCTTTGCATGCCTTTTTCCTTTAGAAGCGTTTTGTTTCTGGGTATAATATTTTTCTCTCTTTGTGATAGGTTTCTTTCACGGGGAAACAGGGTGAGATGAGGGAAATGCAGCAGCTTTCTGGTGGTCAGAAATCCCTGGTGGCGCTCGCGTTAATTTTCGCCATTCAGAAATGTGACCCGGCTCCTTTTTATCTCTTTGACGAAATCGACCAGGCTCTGGATGCACAGCACAGGAAGGCTGTATCAGGTAAATCTTTGCCAGAAAAAGTATGCGACGTTGCAGTGAAATTGAGGAGAAATGTCGCTGATTAAAAGCATAGCAGCAAAAAAGGTGGACCCAGTAGCGTAAGCACTTACATAACCTTCTTTTCCATCTAATCAGTGCTCATAGTCCATTCTGCCTAAGCAGTGCTCTCTGTGTAAAGCCTAAAAATCTCAATTGTTTAGTTTCCTTCCCTCCAACAGTCACTGACCCTTTGTTGCACAGCTTGTGTTTGTGTTAACGTATTATCACATTTATTGGTGGTCTGTTCCTAAACTGAAATCAAAAGTGTGCTGCTGTTCCTATTCTAGTTCATTTTTAAAAATGTTCTTGTAGCTCAATGTGTCACAAGTTGATGTATCTGTTGTACACTGTGTTGCAGTCTCTTTGTTACTCTAAATTATTTTGTAAAGTGTACCCTGTTGTTTTGTTTCTTGTTTCCCCGCTCCAAAAAATAATTAAGAGAAAACCCTTGCATTACAGATATGATTTCTGAGCTCTCTGCACATGCCCAGTTTATCACGACTACCTTCAGACCAGAACTGCTTGAATCAGCAGACAAGTTTTACGGAGTGAAGTTCAGGAACAAGGTAATGTTAACACTCTATGAATAGAACACACTCTATGGATGTTAAGTAACCAACTAATGACTATCCTCTGTGGGAGTTAAAAAGTGGCGTCTCCTTGGAACTGAGCTTGGACCAAGATGATGTAATTTGCGATTGAATCTCAGAATCAAACGGACCTTTGGTGGCAGTCTCAGTAGTCCAGTTCCTGAGCCTGAAGGGTTGGTCTGCAGGCCTTCAAGGAACTGCTATTAGGCCAGATAGTCTGGAGGGTCAGATCGAAGGGGGCAGTGATTCTTCTTACTCAGCTCCCATTAATTAACCCAGCAAACCAAAACCCTAAAGGCTAGGATGGTCCTGGTTGGAAAAGCAGTGGGAAGCTTGCTGGACAGTGCTCACAATGGCAAGCTGTGCAGTTTTAGCTAGCTGAACCCCAGCAGTTACCCCAATGCGCACTTTAAGCTCTGCTTTCACCAAATTGCACCTAATACTTTCTGGCATTTAGATAATCAGGGTGCTTCCCTCCGGGAGGAAAGTGTGGACTCCATTCAGACCCGAAGACATTTCCATGTGGGTCTCGCTCCCTCCCTTCCCATTTTCAGGTCTCTTGAAGACCTTTTCGACTGCGCCTTTGGTCACCTTCCTCCCCCTCCCCCTGGCTCGGTCCCGGGATCCGTTACTGTAAAGCGCTCTGAGACGCCGTCCGGCGTGGAGGGCGCTATATAAATCCAAGTTGTTGTTGTTGTCACTGTCTGGGCTGGATACTTGTAAGCATGCTGCTGGGTTTCTGCAGGTGTCAGACACCCTAGAAACAAGCTGACCACAAAACAAAATGAATAGAAAATAGAATTTGTACATTGTATTCGTTCCCTATTTGTTTTTGGGGGTGGATAAATTGTAAATGTTTCACCTGATTTTAAATGGTCTCCAGAAGCTTCGCTCCCTCTCATCAAACCGGTTTATTGGAACATTCTCTCTCTGACTAATCCAAGTGTCTGTTAAGAAATATCACAGTATTTGTAAAATCCCTTCTTCCGATTTCAGTGATTCATCCACAATCCGGTAACCTTCACTTTAGGTCATTAGGTCTTACGCATTCTCATCAGTAACTTCCTCTTGTCAGATAAAATCCATTTAAAAAAAAAAATCTATTTTTCAAAAAGTGTATTGTGAAAACACTAAAAATAGCCTTTCGACCTTCCTCGAGTGTCAGTTTGCCACAGTTGATAGCACACTAACTAGCCTCTAGGTCAAGGTTGTGAGTTCAAGATTCACGTTTGGGTTTGAGTTTGTAATCTATTCCAGTCCAGTACTAACTGAATGTGAACTGTATTTCAGATTAGACATTAACCCACAGTCTCATGTACCTGTTCAGGTGGTGTTAAAGAACCTGTGACCTTATTTGGAAGGGGGGTGAGAGAGTTTCTTCCAGTAACCTGGTCAGCAATCACCTGGTGGCTGTTGATCACTCATTCTTGTGATATTCTGGGTACTTTTCCAACTTTCAGTTTTCCTGTTTCCCCCTCACCTTGGGTGTTGCGGCACGGTGGGTGATTTACAGGGTGGATCATAAACTTGGAGTAAAGTTGGCTCAAGGTGTTTGTTTATTTTTTATTTTAAAAAATCGACGTCTGTGTTGCAGGTCAGTCACATTGACGTGATCACAGCTGAACAAGCAAAAGACTTTGTGGAGGATGATACCACACACGGATAAAAACGAAAGCGCTTCCCTCCAGTTCATTTAACATAAGCTGTACACTTCTTATCCACCGATGTGAATATGTAAGACAGTGCACATATTCACAAAGCTAAATTTTGAAGGTTGTGGATGTGCATTTTATATGGGCCACTTTACACCTGCCTCTTAAGGTTGAGCTGAGGAAAATTTAGTTCAGCGTTCATAGCATATAGTAATCAACCTGATATAGATCTATTCCTCAAAGATATTGTTGTGCTTCTGTTATATATCTTTGTTACGATGCATTTTAAATTCAGCTTAACATACCTTTTACACATGAAGTTAAAAGTATTTACTTTTTTTCTAAAGTTCCCAGTTGCTGTTTTTACGCTCTTTGTAATTTCCCAGTGGAATAAATAGCCTTCTTCTTATTCCAATTGTAATTTTATCATTTGTACCGCATTGCATTTCGTTGTTTTAAAATTGTTACAAATAAAGATGTTACTGAGCAAAATTAGAAGCTTTTTAAAAAACAATTGTAATCCTTGCATTTGATATACAGCGCCTTGAACGTTGAAACGACTTGGATTTTGCTGTGAAGTGTAGTGACTATTTGTAGGCAAATGCGACAGCCAATTTGTGCACGGCAATGTCCCACAAACAGCCATGAAGTGAATGACCCAATTTATCTCGAAGATTTGAGCTGCGCGCACTGATAATGTGCGAAACAATCCTGGTCGCCATTTTACTTATTTTTAGATAAATAAGTAAAATTTATTATGGGGGTTCCCTCCCTAGAGGGCAAATCAACCCACATCACTTCTGCAACTTTACTAGGGATTAGTTATTGAATAGCGTTGACAGAGTGTTAAGGACGGATAGTCTGTCCGCCCTGTTAAGCTGGAAAAGTTGAAGGCATGGATGAATGGGAAGATTCGTGTGTTTTTCCATGTAGCTCAAGTTAATTAAATAGCTCATCGGCAGTCATAGAAATCGATTGTGACAAACCCACCTTTTAACTTGGCAATGAGTTCAAAAGGAATTGATGCATTATTATAATCATCTTTGCTTTAGATTACAGCACCTGTAATGGGAGGACAGAATGTTGGGTTGGTTTTATGGAATGGTTGGATCAAAGGAGGAAAAGTTACCTGCTCCACACAGACTCTACAATATATTGTCATCTGGTGTGACCTTGTGACACGTCTCAAAGTACTCCACAGGTAATCGCTATCAGGTTTAGTGATTGTGATTTGTTGGGAGTGAGCTAGTCGTGTTTGAAAAGGCGCATTCCATTCCAGCCTTGGCTAAACCCTGATATCAAAGGCACAGTGTATTTAATGCATTGACAATTTGCCAAAGATTTTGTTCATGACTCTTGTTTGAGATTAGTTAATCTGAGCTCCTGTCCTTGCTGTGACGGGAGGAATCGAATTCTGATTACACAGACTGGGGTTGGAGTGTAAATCCTCTTTGCTTACTGTTTGGTATTTGCAGTGTCTCAACCATCACCTTCAAAAGGCAATCTTTTTGTTTCCGCCCTTTGGTATCCAGTGTTTGCTTCATTTACACAATCTTGAGGGAGAGCAAGAGTGCTTCATCTCCCATAGATGGGTAAAGTTACCAGCCTTCCTGTGCGCACTTGAAATGGGAATTGCACTATTACAAGTTAAGTTTACTACCAACATCAGAACATCAAGCCTGGTGATTTTGTGGGTCTATCAACAAGAATTGAGTGCATGTGCCTCACACGAGGTGTACATGATCTGCATTGTTTATTAAATACATGTTTGTTATTGTTACATATATTTTTTTCATTGAGCCATTCATTTAGGTTTCACCTGCTTTGTGATACAGATGGATGGTCGAGGGGTGTTTATTTCAAAGAAACATGGAGTCGTTCTGCTGGTTATCCTGCAAAGAGTGGGATGGGTGTATTTTTTTTTAAACCATTCGATTCTGAATTTGAGTGAGTGATGATTTTATCTGTTGAGCTTAATTTAAGCTCATAGAAGTAGACTGATGCTCCGGTGGAAATCTCAGCTTGGTTTGGATACTCTTAAGCGCGGTGATGGGTTTCCGCATGTGTCAGACACCCGGCTGAGCAAAATAAAATCATTCGCTGTTTGTTTGTGTGACATTGCTGTATTGAAATCGACTGCCTAGTTTGCCCACAAATACAGATTCTCTACACTTGTCAGCAGTTCACTCCAAAGCCTTTGGTTTAAGCGTTTCAATGCTAATAGGTGCTGCATCAAATATAGGGACTATTATTAATAGCTGCAGCGCACACGCGATAAGCAAAGAGACTTGGTAACTCCATTTAGCAACTACAATTTATAAAACAAAATAATAATCATAATAATCCTTTCATTTGATATCGAGTCTTATCACGCCGTTGAGACGTCTGAAAGCACTTCACAAGTATATTGTAAAGCGGAGTGACTGTGCACTCGGTGGGCAAAGGGCAGCAGCCAATTGCGTTAAAAATGTATTGATTTTAAGCAGCCCCTTAATTTTTATGCAGAAACTCAGCCCCTTCCCAATGGGGTATTCTGACTGCAGGGGGCAGTGTAATGTTTTGACAGCTCTGCATTGCCTATAGATGGCATTTGCATGAGAGCAGACAGCGTAAGACCGGAGTATTAATAGCTGCCGTGTGATGAGTTGGATGGGCTGATTTGCCACTCGGCTCTGGATGTATCAGTGATTTTAAAGAGGGCCTTGTGTGCCAAAAGATCCTGTTATTTTCGTATTTGTTTCACACAAGCTTCTATAATCGAGCCATTTTTATGGTTTGTTTTGAACACTTAAATGCCCTCCAATCTACCCCCATTTTTATCTCTTTGACTCATGTGCCTATTATTAGCTGCGCATGAGGGAGGAACGACCTGCTTCTTGGCTGATTGCAGTTATTCAAGCTGATTCTAAGCCAAGGGGTGTCTGAATCTTCTTCAAGTCCATTCTGTCTAATGCTAACCCTGTTTGCGGGGGATTACTGTAGAGCGGAGTCCTGCAGTGTAGTGGTTAGAGCGCTCAAAAGTGAGAGGACCTGGGTTTGATTCCCGGGCGGGGCGAAACCGTAGGCAAGTTTCCTTACTCCGCAGGCCTAGCAGTAAGTAGGACCCCAATTGGCAGATCGCTTTTCCAGGGGTAATAATCCCTTCCATAAATAAATAATAATTTGGTTACTCAATCCACGGCTGTTTGTGGGACGCTGCCGTGTGAAATTGGCTGCTGCGTTTTGCCCACAAAATATACAGTCACTACCCTTTACAGTATATTCTGTGAAGCGCTTTGCGATGTCTCAATGACGTGATAAGGCGCTATTTCAAGACTATTTTGTGGACGAAATGCTTAATTAAGGTACCTCATCACCACCAAACACCTCCAACATTAAACAACTCATTGGCTGGCAGTTATCCCAGGAGGATGAGATCAACTGGTCCTAAAGTCCTTCATCTAAACCTATGCTGTGAACCTTCTTACCCTGTGGAAGATTAATTGTTACCTTATAATTTAGATATCAGAAACCTTAGCCTGTAAGACCCTGTAGAGCAATGGTGGCAAACGCATGGGCCATGGGTCAAATATGGCCCATCAAACATTCGTACCAGTCCAGGTAGGTCTGTGTTCAATCAAAATTTTATTTCCAGTAGCTACTGGGTGGCGATATTTATTGTGTGGCAATAAATTTAAAAAATATTCAATCAACAAAAATATATTTGTTTGGCCGATCAAAACGTTTTGCCACCAATGTTGTAACGGCTTAAAGTGTAAGAATTGTGCAGGATTTATAAAATAAATTCAGTCATAATTTGGAAGCCACTTTAAGGCAGATCCCAACCCACCAGCTTTTGACTGAGACTGAATTTGAGAATTTCCCATAAATTGAGCTTTTGTGAGCTCTGAATCTTGAAGAATTGCATAAGAACATAACAACAACAGCAAGGTTACATTTGTATAGCGCCTTTCACGTCGGGAGGACGTCCCAAGGCGCTGGAAAGCATTTGCTGGATGAATGAAGACCGAGATCCACCTAGTTCGCCTTCCAGCATCGTGGGTGGTCGCTTGACATGTCGTATCCCAAACTATATACTGTATCATGAGATTATTTTCCAGAAAACTGCCCTGTCCAAAGCGCCGGTTGGTCGCAGAGCCCACCCTTCAGCAAAGCCCTATTTTACAGACGACACATTTTGTTCTGTGCACGTCACTCTGTGAAACTTGCCTTTCGTGCAAAGATTGCGGAATGCCGCCAGACATCCAGTGGGAAATGCACAGACCTATTCCTAGCCGCTACTCTCACATCTGTTTATGCTGTGCCTCAGGTTCACCCCTTGTTTTGGAGCCCGCTACGTGCTTCCACAAGGATTTGGTCGGTCTTTTGGTAATTTGTGATCCAACAGGTGTCGGCTGTAACACTAAACACTTAACGCTATTCAGACACCATGCTGCAGCCAGAGCCAGCCCCGCTTGCACTGACTGAGCAAAAGCACGCGCGGACAGAATCTGACTTTCAACGATAGCACGTGACTTGGTTACGCCTGAGATGAAACGTCCAGAATCTGGGACCAGTCGTAAATCTCCTTTGTTTTTTTTCTTAAAAGAAACCCGACTTCTATTTCAGAAAAGCAAATAATAATGATAATAATAATAATCCTTGTGTTTGATATAGCGCCTTATCACCTGGTCGAGACGTCTCAAAGCGCCTCACGGAACTGACTGTATATTTTGCGGCCCAAATTGTAAAGTTACGTTCCTTGTTTATGCATTGTTATGCTGATAATCGCTTCGCACATTAAAAGCCGTGTATCTAAGTCACTTAATATAATGATTATATCATCATCATAATAATAGTAATGTTTGCTTTCATATGGCACCTTACCATGCCATCGAGATATCTCAAAGTGCTTCACAGGATATAGTGTAAAGTGGTGTTGACTGTATTTTGTGAGTGAAACATGGCAGCCAGTTGCACATAGCAAGGCCCCACGAGCAGCCATGGAGCGTGCGTGATCGATTTTATTTGGGGATTTGTTGATCAGGGCACCGGGAGAGGGAATCTCCCTTGAAGCTGAAAATGTTTCCTTTATACACATGACCTGTTGTTCTGTCGATTATTTTCAAGGGGAAATTCAATGGAAATTATTCCGCTCGCTCCCTAATATTCCCTTGAAAAATCATTTACGCGATTTATTGAAGGTTTATGCGAACAAAAACACAGGCGCTGATTTGATGGGCTGAATGGCCCATTTCTATGCTGTGGTCTTCTCTGATTGAACTAGTGTACTGGCTTCTCATCATAGCGTCTCGCAAAGTTTTTTTTCACAAAGCAAAAATCCAGTCGCCCTTTTTGGTAATAATCCTGCTGTCGCTGATTGCCCTCTTCCTAGTATCTGTCCTGAAATTGCCCTTCACAGGAGGTCGAATTGCCCTTGAGCTTTTGTCCTGCTTTCTGTGGGTATCTTTAATCTTTTTTTTTATTACTGCATTATAAGGATTATTATTATT